ATTTTGACACCCAGAATAACTATTCTAGGCGAATGAAGTCGCTGGCACAACTAGTAAATAAACTGACTTATACATTTTGCGTTTTAAACATTTAAAAGTGATTTATATAAATGTGTACTACTTTATTACGGGTATTACTTAGTTGTAACGCAATAAAGAATGTAGCTTACAAATTGCTACCTTCCTATGAATTATAAAACTTGTTTTTTATTACGTATCGGTGGTTACTTTACAAGTATTTATATTCACATATCTATTCTACGCAATACGTCAAGGGCTGTGGATGTACAATGAACTTAAGCTATATCAATTCAAATTCGAACTATTAACTGAATTATGAAGGCCGTTTCATATGAACTTCGTTCTATAAACGAGCAGTTTTCATTTGTTCTAAAAAATATAGATTAAACAAAACTTAACTCATTAAAGAAGAAAGACTTACCCTCTTCTTCGCAGCATGCTTGTCCTTTCTTATGACTTTGATGCTTTTCTGAAACTGAAAAAATATATCTTTTGTTTAAACCATTAAAAGTATTATAAATATATTTTTAGTAGAAATATGAAAACCTATAAATTATTTGTCCTATTATAATCTGACCCACCAATCTATAAATAATTAGCTACCTATAGTAGTATATTTATGCGTGTAGTCCGCATAAACGAGTTTAAAACGCGAAATATAATAAACCTATTTTGAAATGACTTAACTACAGTCAAACGGGTTCCCGTGGTCACGGGGCCGATTGAGGAAGGAGGATGTCCCTAATGTCAAATCTGCTATGCTATAGCATAGGCATAGTTAAAATAAATTAAAAATAAATGAAATAATATATTACGTGTTTTAAACAGTGTTTCTTATAGATTACCATTGCATAAAAAAGGTACTTCAAGCAACTAAGTTACTAACATTAAAAACGTTTGTTTAACTTAACATGGAAACCAGATGTAACCCTTAAATAAAAAGCTATGTAGATGGAAAATAACTACACGGACGGGACATGAACCGGCATCCACGCCGTACCGTGCTTTAATTAATCAAACTACCGTGTCCTGTAGATTATAATAGTAACATCAGCGGCATGTGAAAATATTAAAGTTTTCAAACAGATATATCCTTCTCAGATACTAGCGTCGGCCGTCTGTGCCGCCTTTAGAAACAGGTAGAAACAGAATCTGAATACGTCGCTATAGGTAATGCCTGTGTTACATGACACAAAAGCTTTTCTTTTATTCAGTATTAGCGAACATGGCCTTGTGATCGCTCGTTGCTCCCATCGCACTGAACGAGCGTAAGTTTTTTTGTTACTACCTAATAAATATATTTGCGGTTTATGTAACATGCGCCTTGACTATTCCTGTCATAAGACCGCAAAAAGGAATTTGTATCTTCACCACTGCGCAGGGATTACTTCAAAGACACATCAATAAAAACCTACGTACTAAAATTTATAAGTAGCTGTGCCTGCGACTTCGCTCGCGTCCCGTCGTTCATTAGATGATTAAAAGAGAAATCATTCTTTCACACAGAATTTGGAATTCTTGAACGGTTTTCATAGCGCATTATTGGTCGCAGGCCGATGTCTTATAATCTAAATGCTTCATCGATAAATAGTCCAAGCAACACAAAAATATTTCTTCAATTAGGACCAGTAGTTCCTGGGGTTAATGCGTTGGAACAAACCCATCGGCTTTATGACATTAGTATAGATAGAAATAGTACTAATTTAAAAATCAAAAATAAATTGAAAAAATTTTCGACTCGGGCAGGACTTGAACCGGCATCGTGAGCGTTCCGTGCTGTTGCTCTACCAATTGAGCTACCGAGCCCTACACCTCATCGTCGAATTGTTCCAACTTATTCATACATGCACCTCTCGCGCAATGTAATTTCAACCTTAACACTTGCACACCAAGGAAATAATACTGTTTTTATAAAATTTGTTTAATGGCTAAAATACATAGTAATAATAAAGGTATTTCGTAGATAATGATAACACATAAAAAACAAGTATATAAACTACAGCGTTTGTTTTGTCTTCGAAATGAATTGTGACCTTACTTCGTTATCGTACGAAAATAGTAACTTGTTGCGCCTTTCTTCTTTACTCGAAACCGGTATAGATATATATAGCACAGGAATTTACTGATCGCGAGTCAAATAGTTATTTTTGCTTACAAAAAAGTAGTTCGTGATGTAAAAAAAGTGTGTACTTTGAAAACTGAACTGGTTTCTTTGCCTTCGAAATTAAAACATCGCAGGTAAACAGTAAGTAATTTCCTTCTACTAGAATGATCATTTTAAATAAATGAGTTTGAATTAAACCAATCAGAATATTACCTTGTGCTAGTTACTCTTACTATTTATAATTGATACTTACAGCACAATGAAAGCAGCCGAACAACGATCTCGTTGGAGAGCTAGGATTTCGACACGGGAAGGACTTCAATGGGATCACCCGTCACTTTTCCATTTCCAACCTGGAAAATTTATAATTTAATTGTCGATTTCCTTCTTTGGTATGGAACAATTTTCAAGAAACTGTTTACTTATATTTACAATGACAATCAGCGAATTCCTTTTAATTTGGCAAAACCGCCTTTTCAACGATGTAAATAAAAGGGCTGATTTAGAAATAATGTTAAATCAATTCTTTAGTTACTTCTTTCTATATCTACGAAAAGATATTATTAACATAGCAACATCTGGGACCAAGAGATTGTATCTTTTTTTTCACTTTTGAAAATGTTAGTGTAATTAATTCATAATCTACCCTCTTTTGCTTTATTTAAAAATTGTTTATCGGTTTTAGGTATAACAGAGTGTTTTACTTTGGGACATTAATTATTTAAACGCAGTTATTTTCCTTTAATTACAACTAATGTGTTAAGGATACATGTGCAAGACAAATGTAACTATACACAGGTGTCTAAATAAAACACTTTAACGGTTTAAAACGCGATATATTCGTTGATTTTAATTGAGTGTTTTATTTAGATGTGTGCTGCTCGCGTAAACTATAGACAGTATTTTTCTACAGAGATTTAGGTATTTCTACTTTTTCATTCCTTCTTAAGAAAACTTTCTTCTAAAAAGAAAATGCTTTGTATAAGTTTTTTTTATTCGATGAAGGAACAGTTTACACATTTTAATTGACATGACTGTATAAAATTACGGCGGCGACAATCGTATATAGGTATGTCCCACGATTGCTAATACATGAATATGATACGCTTCAGAAAATAGTCGTGAATCTATAACAAATTCAGAACATTATGTAAATTATAAACAGCGAAGCACGCCGAATTGTTTACGTTCGTGTAAAAACAAAGTTTGACGCACGACACCACCTTGCAAGTTTAAATGCTAATTAAAAACAAAATTAGAATAATTATACTTCCAGCGACATTTGATATATTCAATTATATATTTAGTCATGCGTTTATGTATTTTATAATCTGTGCCTTCGCCTAGTATTCCCCATATGGTTTCTAATCTACATATTGCAAGCGACATGAATGATTAAAAACTTTCCCTCCGAGCTATTTCACACGAGTTGAATGCACCAGCAAACGGCGTCGCGACCTTGCCAATGCGCGCGCGCATACCGCGTTCACCACGATAAGACCTGCATTACTTACATTGGCACTCGTCGCATCGTTGTAGACGGCCGAGTAACTTTCCGGCGGAAAGTTGAATATAGGCGAAGACATATCCGATCTAATTCACAACACAGACACTAGTGGAGGGCCGGGCGAAGGGACGACGCGGCCCGCGATCCGCCGGCGCCGGCCATTACAGACAAGTGTTCTGCAGATTCATTGTTCCTTATTGATAAGCGTTGCCGACATGTGCGGTCTGAGTGCGGCCCGCGGGGTCCCACACGCCGACTGGCTCACGCGCATATGCGGATTATCACGTTTCGTTAATGAGTAATGCAAACTTCCCGTAAAACTCGTATTCGGCGTCGTGTGCGCAGAGCAGTGTGCGCTATCAATAATAATATCGGGGCGCTAGCGATAATAACGTGTCGTTGACGGTATCCGCCGTGTACTGAGCTTGTCGCAATTGTTATTAAATGCGCTTGCGATAAAGCGTCTACCTACATATTCGATGTATGAAATACCTCCTACCGCTATTTTATAAAACCGGCTGCATTTTTGTTTTAACTGTCGGTTGGTGATGTAGGAAATTGATAGCCATTAAAGTTTAAAGGAAATAATCAGTTTTAAAACGATGTCTCAGTCTTCGGGAGTTATTAATCAAAAATATTGTTTATTTTAATTTGAAAAAATCGTGCTTGTCCATTCCGACCAAAAACCCCGACATCAGCACAAAATACACTAGATGACGCTAGTTTCTATTTTCATTTAAAATATTTCAATTTATAAATTTTAAATAATTATTCTTAATTTAGACAAATATGTTAAGAAAATTATTTAGTTTTTGAGCGTTAGCATTTTTGAAATTTTAAGATTTAAATAAAAACTTTAACGGTTTAAAAGCAATATATTAGTTAAATTATTTGAAAAATAATTTCTCCCCATGACCACGGCTGCTGCAAACATCCAAACGTCGGGCCGAAGATCATTTTTTAAAAAAGTTTAACTAATATATCACGTTTTAAACGGTTAAAGTGTTTTATTTAAATGTGTACTACTCGCGTAAACTATAGACAGTATTTCATATCAAGATTTTTAATTTTCTGTGTTTAACTTAATTGCATCTTAAAAAATTTGCTGTTTCGTTGAAATATAGCATCTTCTGTGGCCGGTGACGATTACTATAGACGAATATACTAAGGATATTGCTACATATTATAAATCTTCTCTCACGTTTTTGTAAGAAAATAAGTAATTCTACACAGCTTCAAAATCATTTACTCACAATAAAAATAGGTACCCATCACTAGATTTAGGGCAAATTAGGTAATATTATTAACTTCATTATTTTCTAATTGCAACACCATTGCCAATAAATGGTAACTTTACAACAGCAAAGATCACGTTGCCTGCAACACATTATAAGTATAGTTCAGCAGCTCAAAAGCTCGTTGAGACGCTTCGTCATGGGACTTCTGTAAACGCTGCATTGTTGACTGCACTGCTGTGGTGATGCCAGCGCTGCGCAACACCAGTTTCGCCTGGAAATTTTATACACTGATTAGTACAAAGCAAAAAGTATTATGTTACTTAAATAATATCTCTGAATTAAGTACTAATTTGTTAAATCATTTTTAATTTCCATTAAGTAGAAATAATTTAACAACCTACATCTTGAATGTACGAGTATATCGTATAATTCAAAACGCTAGCTTTGAGAAGTCTAACGTACCGTAAAGAGACAAAACAAATAGTTTTGCGTTAAATACATGTGTGTACTGCCTAACTTGTTATAATGTATTGGGTAGCTTTGGATGGAACGCAGAGTATACTTTGAAAAGCCTACTGATCAAATAAATTAGTAAAACACTGGCACTGAACTGTATCTGCCCTATGCCCTAAGTATTAAGAACGAGATTTCTATTTTCAAGTAGTGTTTCCGGGTTTTTGGATTATCATGTAAACTAAATTAATGATTATACCCTATGATTATTTGCGGCGAGTGCCCAAACAGCCCGACACGCTGAAACAATCTCCGATGTGTCTCCCGTTAACAGCGAGCCAGATAACACCTCCAGGAGATCCTCTGTACAAAATGACATAGTATAAGAAAGTTGCTTTGTACCATACAATACTTAAACAATCAGCAGAAATACTAATAGTTTTTTTTTAAGGAGGAGGAGTGTAGGAGTGGGGGGGGTTTACAAAAACAACTAACGTGACTGCAAGAAGATAAGCCGCTGATGATGAGCCGCGTGAGCGAGTGAGGTGAGTAAACGAGGTGGTATTGGCCTGAGCGTGGGAGAGGACAGCACTGCCAAAAGAGCAGCCGCGCCATCTGCATGTCGACTCAGCGCTTCACATAGTTTAACCCAGGCCTCGCTGCAAGAAGTATTAATATTCCCGCGCGCGCGCAGCTTACATGCACACGATAGTACATCACTCTGAAATAAAATGTCGTTTATTATCATAATTACTAAAACTGTGAAGGTTCTTTTATACCGATTCTTAAGCATTTTTCTCTTATTAAAACTACCTGCATTTTGTTCTTTTGACATTAAATATTTATAATACTCTTATCACATTTAATAACAGGAAACACAAAAATCTAACGATATTTAGAAGGTACACAACATCGAAATATCCCTCCTTTGCGATGGCTAGCTGTGACTGATGACATCCCAATTATCTTTTCAAAATGGGTGCAAATTTTAATACTTCCAATAAGACGATTTATAATTATGCGGGAATTTGTGAAATTCAGCATAGAGTGTGCTTTATGAAAAACATAAAAAAATACTTTATTACTTACTGTTACATATAAACAATGCATTAAATTACAATAAAAATATGTATACGATATTTTCATAAGACAAAAAATTCCAGATGTATAATCTTAATATTTATACCTTGAGTATAAGCGACCGGCAATGTTGATGTGGGACACAGTGAGTGAACACTTTTAGAGCAAGAGGCAGAAGGGGAGTCGCGCGGGGGCGGGAAGCCTCGCGACCGACCAGCGCGCACACTTCGCCAGCCAAACTGCGTCCGGACACACAGGCACATAAACTGCTCCACGCTGAAAACACAAATAGTCATAAATCCACGATGTCATATATTACGGGTATAAGTATTTAAGAAAAGCAACAGGACACTTGGTGTGTTCGGTTCTATATATTTATTTATTCCCTTTAAAACTATTATCCACAATTATTATTCCCTCCTTTTCACTTATTCTTAACTATAACTACCCCCTTTCTTGTCACTTCCACTTATATGCAGACATTTGCAAATTTATTCCCATACTGCCCCCAGATCTCAATATCGCTATTAGCTCTCTAAACTATAACCTCAAAAAATTTCTTCTTGAGTAAATCTTTTGCATTCAATTAAATCCGATAAAAACACAGTCAATTATAATTGGTAGCCCCACCTTTCAATCGGATCAACTGGACAACACTCCCCCATTGTTGTCGATGGATTTTCCGTTCCTTACATAAATCCGTCAAAATCTTGGGTTGCATGTAGATGTCACCTTATCCTGGTATCCACAATTAAAGGAAATAAGCCGGAAAATGTTTGCTACGGCCTCAGTTTGCGACTATTCGTAACTTCTTACCCATTCCCACTAAATTGCCCTCGCCCAATCCTTCTCCTCCCTTCTCTTGATTATGCTGACGTGTGTTTTTCCAACCTCTCACTATTCAACTTGATAAATGTGTTTGGCCTTCGTAAATTTGACCATTTTCTAAATTTCGCTCCGCCCTAACTGGCTCCCTATTCGTTTACGCAGGAATCTACATGTTCTTTCTCTTCTTTTTCCAAATACTCTTCGATCCTAAGACTCCAACTTACCTGAAAGAAAAATTTGAGTTCCTCTCCGATAAAGGCCTTAATCTCCGGTCAGACGAAAGCCTGACTTTACGTTTTCCTTCTCACTCAACTAGATTCTATAATTCATCCTTTCATGTAAGAGCTATAAAACTTTGGAACAATTTACCTTGTAATATAAGAAAAGCCCAGAATCTCGCTTCCTTCAAGAATCTTGTCAAGTCCCACTATTTATGCCTAATTAAGTAACTTAGTTAAGATAGTAATAAAAAAGTAAAGCTCATTTTGTATTATTGTTTATATTAGTTTTAGTATGTAGGTTGTCTTTTTTTTTTTTTTTTTTTTCTGCTGTCACCAATCCTTTTTTATCACTAATTTCCATTTCCATCACGGTGCTTGGAAGAGATAGCTATTTAGCTATAAAGTCGCCTTTGTCCTTAATTTCCATAAATTTTTGTATATTTTTTTTTTGTTGTTGTTTTGTTTTGTGACAATAAAGAATATTTGTATTGTATTGTATTGTATTGTATTTGTCTATACGTATGTTGAATTTCACCTTTTCACAGGCATTTTTACTATAGATGTATACCCCAATTCCTCCCTAGTTTTGGGTATTCAGAAATATCACTGAAACAACATCACATTCTTTCATCTATGAGTGTCGTACATATTCGATTCCTCCTTCCTTTATTACATTTTCAAACAAAGTTACTGCTTCTGGTGGGGATCGTCCCACGACCCGTTAATATTACATTACCATCGACCACCCAAATAATAATTCTTTACAAAGACCAAGACACTGTCTGGTTCAGGTGAAGCGTTTAAACCTATAAATTGATATTAACTTCATATAACAACCTCTGTAGCCAAATGTAAACCTATCATTGCGTAAGCTCGAGAGGTCCTAAGTTCTAATCCTAGGGAAACATAAAATTGTTTCGGTCGGGAAGGGCACAAAGTTCATCGACTATTTGCCCTTAAAAGAAGGGACCATAAAGGACTAGAAATGTGTTCGCCATATGCCCCACGAGGGGTAGGCGGGATTTCACTTCATATAATAACGACCCTCATAAATTTATGAAGTTCACACTACATAAATAATTATTGGCATGTTTGAGTACCTTTAGAACAGTCGTTGGTAAATGTCAGTAGTAATTGCATAATGGCATTTCGTAGCTGCTCCGTCATCATGCACCACGGCCACAGCCTATTTAGGGACACCGCGATGTCATCGGACAGGTAATCCTTACAGGAAACACAGTCCAACATAGAACTGTTTATTAGGGTTAAAACCCAGTTCAGATTGTTCAGAATTGGCTCCTGGAAAATTAAAAAGTCATTGAAAATATTAGATTACATATAGTAAATCAATAAGCAATCAATAATTGTGTTTTTATACACATTTAAATGAAACACTCTTCCCACGAGTAGTACACATTTAAATACAACATTATAACGGTTTAAAACGCAATATATTTGCGCGTGCGCGATATATTTAAGCATTGCTACCACGGCTACTGCAAAGCATCCGAAACGTCGGGCCGTAGGTAAAGATAATTTTCAAACAAGTTTAACTTAACACATATATCGCGTTTTAAACCGTTAAAAATGTTAAATACGTAATGTCGTCCTTGTACAGATCACTTTATTTTAAATGCAATGAAATTATTATGTTATTACGATGATTATCAAACGAAAAGGCGATAGAAGGAGTTGAGGAGTTTTTTGCCAGTTCTTGTTCACTTTACGTCCTTGGTTATAGAACTGGTAACTACCAGTTCTATGACTATTCACATCAACTAATGTGAATTAAATCTTAACTGTTTAAGTAACTGGTGCGACACTATGACTAATCTACTCAGCAACCTTCGTAAATCGAAAAGGTTGTAAAGTTTGTAACCAAAACGGCCAACTGTGAGTTAGCAAAAGACACTAGTCGCCAAATATTTCTTCTAATGTAACACTAAATGTTTGTTTGCGATTCGAAATTAAAGGTATCACGACTAGACCATAACTTATCTAGATTTCTGGCAGTCTCTGGTGGCAATTATTCTGGATAGATATTTTTAACTTACCGAGTTAGCATTCCGTATAACATCAGCGGGTTTGCCGTGTAGAGACAGCTTGTCCCTAAAGGCTTGCAGCGTGAGTATCAGCACTTTAGGAAAATGACGGTGCACCGCGTACTGACGACACCGGGGGCTGACTGACAGCAAAGACGACAGGCACGAGCATAGCGATGACCAGTTCTCGTCTGTAAAGAAGGAAGCAAGAAATGTATAGAGTACAGTTCAAAGCTGAGTAATTTCTTACAATTTTCCGCCAATAAAATATACCGAATTAAAGTATTTATAGTGTACATTAACTAATGGAAGTATGAAAAGAGATAAACACAAAATTTAATAAAATGAAATGTGCGATATATTAGATATATTAGGGTCGTAGTAATAAAACTCTTCAACTGTTAAAAACGCGATATATAAACGCGTAAATTATAGACACTTTTTGAAAATAAGTTAACAAATGAATTTTGCGTTCTAAACCATTAAAATTGTATTATTGAAATTTCAACAATTTTAAATATCTAATTTAAAAGAGATTAAAATGTAAACATATATATAAGTATAATAAAGAGCTAAAAGCTATGTAAATATGTACAGCAATTAGTATGCCCTTAAGCTATTTTATGACACGGAACAAACATCATTTTAGCATTATGCAAGGTTTTATCAACATATACATACATAGTATAGCCATCCAAGTGCATAGAAGGGGCATACTTTACACACGTTCATTCTATTAATTAATTGATATTTATATTAAGATATAATATTTACAATTTATATTATTTATATATAATTTAAAAATTCACGTCCTGCCCGTGTCGTATTATGCCGTTTTCATTTGACAATCGATTTTTAATATACATTACTTTATTTTCAGAACTTCGGTCAGAGAAAACCGATTAAAAAGTAGCGCGTGTGATTTTATTTGTGCTGGTGTCATGATTTAGTCTTGTGTATTGAGGTTTACGGTTTGTGTTTTTATTAATTTTGCGGCAATAAACGAATTCTTCTCTTTTATACATGTAATCCAGTGTTTGCTATGTCAAAAATAATACAACACTATAATCTGTCTTCGTTTCAAAAATAAATCATTGAAACTTTATTATGCTGCCCCAAATTTCAATCTGTAGTCGACTTTCGATGTGAATGCCAGACATTTACAGTTAACCAATGGTAACAATGTATGGGTAGTCAATGGGTCATGGGTTTGACCACCACCAGGTGCTGCTTCTAACCAATATACCAATAACCAAAATACCTTCCAGGTCACAAAACATAGATGAATGATGATAGAAGCTGTCAAGTTTAAATTCGATTCGTGAATTTCCGAAGAACTTTGTGAATATAGGTCCAAAAAAAGCAGGCAGGATGTTATTTGTAGGTATTTTACCTTCCAATAAGTAAATTAAGTGTTTGTTAATCGTCTGGAAAATCCGGACATGATATTAGTGGTAGGAATAACGAAATTCCGTGTCACAGACCATTGTCCACAGCTAGAAAGAAGTGGCTTTGCAGCATTGAGGAAGCCCAGGTGTTTTTTAACTGGCATATTTACCTTGGTTAACTAGATACTTCTTGCTGTCCAAGTGCCCTTTGAACAAATCCATCAACACTTTGCACATCTCCTCCACGATGTAATCCGGTTGACAATCGCCATTTCTCAACCCGTCGCCAGCTGATAACGGGTCCCGAGGCATTCCCCGAACTTTTAAATTGTCCAGAAAACGGACACAAGAATCTTGTTTTGACCTTTCCTTGCGTGTTATTGTTTGAGCCAATCGTGTGAGACAAAACGTGGCGGCTGATTGTAAATCTGTAATAAAATATAATTATTAGTGAATGTCAGATAATACTCAATTTAGTGTATTATTATTTTTTCTTAAACTTAGTATAAATAACTATAATCAGCGAAAATATGTTAAATAATTACCAATAAGATCACTTTCCAAAAACTGCAACAGCATCTCCAGCAAAGATGTAGATTTGTTCTCTTTCATTTCACACCACAAGGTGTTGCTAGCTGAGTGGTCGGAAAGTAAAAACGCGAGTAAAAGCGTCGCCTGCGCACGCGCAAACAGTCCAGTTTTGTTTAATTCTGTAAATGGTATGTTATACAATTAAGTATTACAAGAAAGCTTTTAATTACTAATAATAATTAAGTAGTAGAGTAAATTAATTATCTGTTTCATTATATATACAGTGTGATTGCCGTCTGTGTTTTGGTAAGTATAAATAGTAAAACGGGGCACATATTATTTGTTGCGATTTCTTTCTGTGCCGTATACGACCGAAACAGTTCTTGTCCTAAATCCCAACGAGTAAATATTTTTTTATGACAGAGGAATGAAGACGATATGAGCTACTTTGTCTTTTTACGATAGAGAAGAACAGATAGGGTTTACTTGATAGTAGATTAAATATTCCAAGATGCGGTGTCGGCCTATTTTGCTATTCGAAAATCTAATCTATACTAATATATGAAAGCTGAAGAGTTTGTTTGTTTGAACGCGCTAATCTTAGGAACTACGGGTTCGAAAAATTATTTTTGTGTTGGTTGGAGCATTTATCGAGGAAGGCTATAGGCATATATGTAACAATGATCTAAAAAAAGTCCGCGACGCTATATGTCTATCCTTTAATATTAACTTGCAAGAACGACGTGAAGGGACGCGATCGTGGTCCTGGCTAAGACTAATGTTAATAAGTTTGTAATTAATTGAGTATATGTTGTTGTAAACCAAATATCGGTCATTGAATGTCATTATGTAAACATCAGTGAAGGAATTTAATCAGCGATAAGTAGGAAACATTCACGTTGGTATTATTCGCGAGATAAGTGTTAATCGCATGCCATTGTTATGGTCTGTGTACACCTGAATTGTTACAATATAGATAAGTATTACTCATGTATGAAGTATTCTGGCGGGCTCAAAGCTCGAATGGTCGAAATGTGTTATTAATCATCGAGTCGTCTGAGCAAAAATAGGTCGACAACACATTTTGCTGTGAAATGTTTGAATGAGAATTAAAAAGGATATTTCACCTTTGATTAAGTGAGGCGTGTTATTATTATAAGCCTGTTGTTTGTTGTATGGAATGGAATGTGTACCACTCGTGTAAACTATAGACAGTATTTAAGTGATGATTTGTATTATAAAAGCAAAGTGAAAAAAGTTATCTGCACGCAACAACCAGGTTTCCCTATGTCTCACTTGTCACACTTTAAAGTCAAGTAATTTTCAAACCTTGAAACGGACGCAAAGTATCAATCAAACTATGAAAGCAGTCTTTGGTTCCCGCGAGGAGAGTTCGCACGGACTTGCATGTTGAAGCGACGCACAGAGCTCTGCATATGCCACCGTTGACTCGATCACTTTCTAAGCTGTCACGGTTGATACACCTGGAAAGTATTTCACGTACAAGATAGAACCTTGTCTGTTATTGAAAAGAGAAGTATTTTAAGGGCACACGCGTTTGTTTGTTTAAACGCGCACTACTGTTTCCAATTGAATTTTTTTTGTTGATTATCGAAAAAGGCTATAAGATATAGAAAATCACGCTGCGACTAATAGGAGCGAAGAAATAGGGAAGCGTGAAACTTAAATAAAACACTTTAACGGTTTAAAATGAAATTTCATTTTCGGAGGATTAGGCTGCCCCAGCAGCATTTTTCCAAATGCCACATTGAAATATAAAAAAACGAAATTTCAATAAAGAGGACGGCCTCAAATTACCAAACACCTGGGATCCCATATTAAGAACTCTGGATCCCAATAGCAAGCATACCGGCAAACGCAAAGACACCGTTAGTCAATTCTGTAAGAACCCGGCCAGTTTCGCCAAATACTAACTTCCACGGAACAGATGGCGCTAACGTAGCAATTTTTTACTTTGCCGTCAGAGACATCCTCCATCTTTAGTCTCCCCGTGACCACGGCTGCTGCAAAGCATCCGAAACGTCGGGCCGAAGTTAAAAATCATTTTCAAATAAGTTTAACTAATATATGGCGTTTTAAACCGTAAAGTGTTTTATATAAATGTGTACTACTCGCGTAAACTATAGACAGTATTTAACGTGAAATTTTATTCATCTGAGGGCTTCCGTTCTGAGGGCTTGAGCTGCCAAAATGAGTCAAGAAACTGAACTATGTATGAAAGAATTCTTTAAATAGTTGTGTCTTTAGAAGTCGTGGGCACAGCTAGTAATATATAAGCATTTCTTAGAGTAAATAAAAAAAAACAACCAAACAATTATATAGTCAAAAAATCTTATCTTACACAGATATACTTAAAGTTAGTGTATGAAACCCGTTTGACTGTTTCGTTTATTTTGCTAAAGTCTATTTTTTATGTATGTAAAGTATCACTCTTCCAGTAGAATCTAGATACTTGGAAGGTGATTCATAAATGTTTGCATAGAATGGAACATTTTATGTATCAACTAATCTGGTACATATGACAAATATGCTATATAGATTATGAATGGACAAGTGTCAGAAACAATCTCTGAATAGAGGATAAGATTAAGCAGGAGATTATTATTTAAATAAAACACTTTAACGGTTTAAAACGCGATATATTAGTTAAACTTATTTGAAAATGATTTTTATCTCCCCGTGACCACGGCTGCTGCAAAGCATCCGAAACGTCGGGCCACAGTTATAAATCATTTTCAAATAAGTTTAACTAATATATCGCTTTTTAAACCGTTAAAGTGTTTTATTTAAATGTGTACTACTCGCGTAAGCTATAGACAGTATTTAATTAACCAGGAGATTATATAACTTTTTTTTTTTTCTATATTTTTTTTACCTGAACATCACTCTAAAAATCCCCCTTTCATTCCACGCCTGTATCGGGCTACTTTTAATCAATGTGATGTTAGTTATAACGTCGGCGATCGAAATTATAAGATCGGCCGTTGGTGGGGCCTTTTGAAACTCATAGGTCGGCGACACATTGATCTCTTGGCACTTTTGCGATCGCACTTCAAGTTCTGTTGTTCTCTCCAATACAGTAGGCGGCATATTAGGTTCTGAAAGACGATTAAATAGATGTTTGATTGAAATCTTTAGCAAGACGGAAGTAAGAGTTACTTTCTGTTTTTTGAGTCAAATTCACATAATGCTCCTAACTTTTATTTTAGATTACCTGGCATGTCCCGGGTAGTGCAGGGTTTCCAGGACCTATCAGAATGCAAAGCAAAGTGTTCGGCCGTCGTAATTAAGAAATAGATCTCGACGTAACATTAGGAGATATTTGGCGTTTTTCGAATAAGCGAGCAATTACGACAGCCGACCGGTTAAAAAACGAAAAAGCAAATCAATATATTCTCAACTGACCTAAATATCTCTCCATAGTCGTACTTTCATTGCAAAAGTCAATCAAAATCTCTAAACAGTTTTCAATAAAACTGAACTCGTCCAAAGAGTGCTGTATGTCATTCTCCAAAGTCTGAAATGAATTGAAAATCAGTGTTAGGTTAACGACTAAAAATAATAATGTTTTAAGCATTTGAAACAATACTTTTGAGAACTTCCAATAAACTTTTGTTGCTAGTGTTTAAAATAATGGCACTTTGTCTCCGCACAAAGTGTAATAAAGATAAAACCTAAATCACCACATCAAAGTTATAATATGAATTGTATATATACAAATATAATATTATACACAAGGTACAAACCACCTACATATACCTATATTCAATGAAGATTTGTAAGCATTTATTAATTATATTTTGAAAGGGTAATCACCCAGAAACCTACTCATCACGAAGAGTTCCGCATCATTGACTTGGTACACGAAGTTCTCATTGTTACCTTTAAAGTGGGTTTAAGAAGCCTACCCCTTTAAATATTGTTTGTACATTACAAAAATATTAAATGTTAGTAGAATGACGTTAGATTATGATGTGTAGGACTCGGTAGCTCAATTGGTTAGAGCACGGAACGCTGACGATGCCGGTTCAAGTCCAGCCCGTAGCTAGTCAATTTATTATCGAACTTTAATTCATATAGCGTAATGTATTAATATTTAAAACAAAACATATTTTAGAATAAGCAGGTATCGAAAACAAAATGGGAAAACATAAATAAGAACAAATAATAAATCGACTGTTAGTCCGAAGTAGTACAAAGTTCGTCTGAACAACCACTTAATTATGGAATCACGCTCACCATTGCTAATGAATCATTATGAAGCAAAATCCGCGCATTTGATATAAATAACGATGAAAATGACTTTTAACGATAACACATGCAGGTTATAGCTAATTAAATTTATGGCACTCGATAAATAAATTTCCATCTTAAGCTTATGGACACACTAGGTGAACTAGAACAAAAGACTATAAAAACGTATTAAAAAGACACCGCGCATCATTTAATGAGGAACATTTTAAAGGAAATAATTCATTTGTATTCACGTTTATTTCGCATAATCATAAAACTAAGTACACATATATTTAAGTACTTTAGCAATAAGTCTTATTGAGATGAGGTGATACACGAAAGTAAGTAGGTTTGATGCTTGATCAATACACAAAAGTATCTTTAAAAAGGTTGTCATTTAAATATATTAAGAAACATCGTATTTAAAACTTTTTTGTACGTCCTACATGTATTTTAGAGGCTCTACAAACGTAGTCGTGAAAAAAAATGTTTAAATAAAACACTTTTAACAGCTTAAAACGCGATATGTATTAGTTAAACTTAATTAAAATTCATCTTAATCAATGTTTTGGATACTCTGCAGCAGTCGTGGTCATGGGGGGAAGATGGGGGGTGTTGGCGTTTAAAACCCGTAAAAGTGTTTTATTTAAATGTGTACTATTCGCGTAAACTGCAGACAGTAAAAATAAAACTAATTTCCAATAACTAGCACTTAAATACAATTTATAAATAAAAATTCGGTTTGCGCTTATATCTACAATACTGGAAACAGCATGGCACTGCATATACATATGTATGTGACCCAATTTCATATCTCTTTGAACCGCAGCCAGATACCGCCTTTGTTTTTCAGCATGACGCTGCGCGGGTCATACTGTATAGAGGTTGTTGTTTTGGAGCATGGCTCTACAATGAAATTACTAAGGATTCCTGCGAGACCAGCTACGACTGTGAGTTGACCGAAGCGAGCACCTGTAATCAATATAATTGTATCACGACATATTCAACATAATATTGTCAATGAAGACATACTTTTGTGGCTATTCACTTTAAAAGGATCGCTTTACCTAACTTGAACTTAACAAATACACGAATGTTGAAAACGTTGCTCTTAGTCAGCGGTTTCGAATACCGCACAATTAATACAATAAGATGTTGGTGTAATCTCTTTACAAGGTCTGTGTAATGTAGAAATGTTTACCATTTGGTTTTATTAAAACCCACTCATTCATAAACACTTCAACCAACGATTACACTCTTTAAGGAATGAAAAATGCTATTATTTTCCGCTAAGGTTATATTAAACATTGTATTAGAGATTGAAGGATGGCTTAACTATCTACGATTTATTATATGTTGTAATAGTTTATACGGTTTGTACGGGAAGTAAAGTTATTGAAGTAAAACACTTTAACGGTTTAAAACGCGATATATTTCGTCTTCCCGTGACCACGGCTGCTGCAAATGATCCGAAACGTCGGGCCATAGTAAAAATAATTCTCAAAAACGTTCAACTACAATATATCGCGTTTTAAACCGTTAAAGTGTTTTATTTAAATGTGTATTACTCGCGTAAACTACAGACAGTAAAGTTATTGTTTAATGAATGTTTTACGAAACAAACAGATTACTACAACCCCTATATTAGTACTCGGTTTGAAAAATAAAAGAGTCGAGACCACAAAATAATCCCATGTCTTCATGTCATGGATTTTTTTTTATGTATTTAGGAAGTCCCGGGTTCAATCTATTACATCTAACTTTATCGGGTAATCAAACCACTGACATATAAAAGGATAATATAATCTAGTTGAGTAACTATTTTCTAAATATAGATTAGAATTAATTATTCGGTATCTCACTATTTTAAATAGAATTAAATCCAACAGAGAATGTGTAATATATTTCACAATAATGAACTAGATATATGAAATTGTAATTTTATTCTATTGTATGTAGAATAAAAAACCTATAAATTGTGTAAGCTGTGAATTCATTTGTTTTATATGAGTTCCAGTGCGGTAAATTCAATCAATTCAAGCAGTACTTTACTGGATTAACTGGTACATTAATTAATCTGTACTTGTATTACTTAAAATAATTTTAATTATATTTTATTTAAATTACAGATACGCTATGGCATAAATCATAGACTCGTTAGTCGTGACACGGAGACCTTTGAAGATTCTTATAAAAAGATATTATATACATAGACAATTTAGAGTACCGAGATAATGGTGTATTTGTGCCGATAAAGTCAGTTTAGTTTTTGGAATCAGGTATCTCTTGTGATAAAATCCGTACACAACATAGTATTTTATTTATATCGCAAAATCATTCAAATGTGAACAAGGCCAACTTTCGAACACTTGTTTTAGTATCGCGGATCAATTACACTGTCCACTGCGCGTACGCCGAGTTTAATAAACAACTTCGTATATCGCGAGATGATTTGCTTACATTGTTTTCCCACGATTCGACGCATTGTGAACCGAAATAGCTCAGAAATTCTATTCAAAGACCACCTACGAAGCTTTGCAAATGCAAAAATTTGTCTGCTTAATAAACTGTTAAAATATTTCATTTAAACTCAATATAAATGCTTACCAGGACAACTTCTAGGACCATCGCCAAACGCCAAAAAAGCTTGGGGATTAGCATCGTCCGTGAAGCGCTCCGGATTAAATCTATCCGGATCGGGAAAATATCTGGCGTCTCTCTGTATGCAATGGATGGGTACGAGAACAGCATCTCTCTTCTTAAAAGATAGATCGGTTCCATCCAGCGTGCACGGCGCCGTACATAGCCTGGTCGTCAGCGGCGTCGGTGGATACATCCTCAACGTCTCCAGCACCGTTTGATTCACCAGACGCATTGCGCAGACCGCCTCATAATTCAATCCGTTATACCGGCCCAAACATTCCTTTATCTCCGCCCTGAGTTTATCTTGCAACTCTAAATCTTTAGCTAGCTCGTACAAGCAAAAAGATAACGTGGTGGCAGATGTTTCCAATCCCGCCAACATAAAAATAAAAGAGTTCGACGTTATCAACTCATCGGTCATGCAGAATTCCTTCTCGGTTTTTTGTACGTTCAACATGAGTTGTAAAAAGTCGTGCCTTTGCACCCCGGTCGTGCGTCGCGTTGTCAACACCTGATTTATAATATCCGTAAAGAAGACTTCGACGTCCGCCGGATACGTCTTGAGATTCAGTAATTTGAACAGTCTCGGGAAAAATGTTCGACAGTACCTTTTGAGTATAGTGGAGCGATCTGTCTTGAACATTTTCTGGGACATAATTAGGAAGGGTGACTGGGGATCTCTCATGGAACCAGGGTCCACGCCGAAAGCGCAACTGCCTATCACGTCTGTGGTGAAACGGCTCATTAACTGGGGCACGTTCACCTCGTCGGGTGCCTCGAATTTTAGAGCTCCCTTGAAACCGTTCGCACATTCCGCTATCAAAGGAAACATCGCTTTCATCTTAGCAGAAGAGAACGTCGGCGTGACTATATGCCGCATCGCCTTCCATTCAGCTCCACTCATATTGGCTAAATTCCTGAGCAACGGCTCTCTAATTGTATCCGTGGACACCGATATTCGATCGCTGAAGAATTGGAACTCCTTCGATAGAACCGTTTTCACGATATCCAAGTCTATCAAGAACAAAGTCGGCCGGCGCGCTTGAAAAACACCAACATACTTCTCGCGTTTAAAACTCTCGTAAAAATATTGCAACATACTTGTGTAACTGCGTCTCATTGTGAGCGTCGCTCCGAAATTTCCGAAGATGGGACAGGGCTCTCTGTAGGGTACCTTTCGTAGTAACCAGTACTTCCTTCCGTTTGTCGTGTAGTGTAGAATCGTCAATAGGATCACTGAGCACAGGAGAATTGTGAGGAGGAGCGCGAAAAACGACATCGTAGTGTTGTTTATCGAAATGGCGGTTAGCGTAGCCGATGTAAACAAACCAACGCGTGGCCGTCGGGCGGTCGAGACGCGGCGCTTACTGGCGACGGCCAGCGATCAAATAAGCGGTGTCGCGACTCGCGGGTGAACGTCGAAACACGAGATAAGCTCGCACCGCGTCAAGGCCACGCAATGTTGACGTACCGCGCCCGTGACTCGAATATATACCCGCATGTAAGGGTGCCTTTACACATAAGTTATAATTAGCCTGAGTGCACTTCGTTAATTGTGTAAATTAAAGAAAAAATGTTTTGGCACAAAATTGACAAAATACATCGTGCTATTAATAATTTTCATAAATACGAAATATATTTTTTAGTAAAAAAAACAATATATTCATAAAACATCTTAACGTCTTAACTGTTTAAATAAAATGTTTTTTAGTATTGTTTGGAGTTCACGCGAATTGTAAACATTTAAATAAAACACTTAACGATTAAACGCGAAATATATTAGTTAATTTATTTACAAGTTATTTTAACTACGGGTCGACGTTTAGGATACTTTGCAGCAGCCGTCTTCACAGGGGTAGTAGTTAAAATAAATTGTATTTGAGTTAACTAACATATATTTCGCGTTTTAACCGTTAAGTATTTTATTGAAATATTTACAATTCGCGTGAACTACACACAATATTTAAAACATTTTATTTAAACTGTTAAGACAAATTTAAAGCTATTACTCAAAAGTACAAGCGCGTCTCGTGGTTTTAAGTTTCTTTTAAATATAAATTTTTTTTTAATTCACAATAAACGCCTTATTGACTCAAACGTTTAATTCGTTCCTATCGCTACGTTAAGCGCAAGAAGTCATGTCTTTAAACCCCGAAAAAACGAATCTTTTCGGTCGGGCGGAACATAGAAGATTGTAATATTAATAATAATAATAAAAAAATAAAAAAGATAATAATAATATTAATAAATAATTTATTAATATATTATTAATTATTTCTTGCTTGTAATCGATCGAAGGAAAATTGTGATCCATATGATTTATAAACTTAGGTTACTTCAAAAGTAATGCCTGTATTTATTATGTAGTGTGCAGTACAAATACATTGTGAAGTGTGAAATAAGGAAAATCCTGAGTTAAAACTTCAAATGTCGACATTTTCCTGCTTTCAGTTTTACGTAGTTAATGTTAAATGTCCAAACACTAGCGAGTATTGTAATAATAATAATATTTATTAAACAGACGATAGATTCATATTAAACGTAATAACAGTTTTAGATTATTTAAATAAAACACTTTAACGGTTTAAAATGCCATATATGTAGTTAAACTTATTTGAAAATGATTTCTAACTACAACCCGACGTTTCAGATGCTTTGCAGCAGCCGTGGGGAGACTTAAGATAGCGGATGTCTCTAACGTCAAAGTAAAAACTACGCTACCGCCATCTGTTCCGTCGAAGTTGGTATTTGGCTATTCAAATAAGTTTAACTATATATCGCGTTTGAAACCGTTAAAGTATTTAAGTGTTGGATTTGTTAGTAATCATTTGACTTATGTTGTATGTGTTTGTCACTAGAATTAAAAATGAACTCGTTCCTACCAATCTGAACGTGTACATAGTGGATCAGCGACCTAACCGTGTCCATTGTTTGCCAAAACAAGCATATTATGTTATTATAAGCGTACTACGCATTTTTATCAAACAGATAGCTTTGAAAACATTGCGTTCATTTTTGAATTATCAGCGATTAATTATGTCTATTAATTAAAATTACTTTGTAATTGATTTGGCCCGCATTCCATTTAAGAACACTTTTAACTGTTTAAAACGCAAATATTAATACTTAATTTATATTAACTTGTTTTTAAATTATTTTAACTACCTGATTCAATGCGGAACGGCTGCTGTATATGCTGCAAATAAGTGCAGAACCTATAGTACTTTTAAATTTTCTTTAAAACTAAACTACAAACTACCTACTTTATAAAGATTACAAGGCATAGACGATAATAGTATCGTCGCTCTTCAAATGTACACATACCCATAGCATTCCTTAATAATATTTTTAAAATTCCAATACTTCTATCGTATGTATGTATACAGTGTGCCTACCATAAAGGCTAAATCAATCGATAAAGTGGGAGAATTTTGCGAAGATTTCAAATGCCAACAGTTACAATTAAATCTATAGATCGAAAACGGGAAAAATCGAATTTGTTGTACGGAAAACTTCCTATAAATTATTTTATTTTTAGAATTCATTGTTATTCAGTCTACAAAAGTTAATAATTAAATAAAAAAACAACTGTCATATCTCTCGGCAATCCGGTGATAGACAGACAAGACAAGACAAAAGACGAAAATCTTAGTAATAAGATATAGTTTTTCTCTCTCTCTCATTACTCATTTTTATTTCAATTTCAAACCCGAAATAATTTATAAAATAATATAGAATTAATAAATTTTAGTATTGAAATTGATAAATTTTAAAAAATACGACAGCTATGGCACGCTAGTATCACAACATCATAACAATTCCGCGACCCACCACGCCGGTGGTCGTTGTATGCTGACCACGATCGTTCGCGGTTCATATAATTTATAGATCATTAATGAATATCCCATTTAAGCGCTGAGATAGCTTCACACGAGCCTTTGTTTCGCGCACAGTGATTTGCTATTCACCACACATCCGATTAGAAATACAACGACACGACGGAACAGATACGATTGATTTGATACGAGGACTTGGGAAGTTAAAGAAAAAAATTGTAAAGGGCGGGTCTTGGGTGGTGAAGTAGTGTTGAGTGGTTCGTTGGTCTAATGTAGCAGGGTATGGTCATAATCAACGAGGCATGGCTTCGGTAACTACCGGATTATGATTCTAATCAATGTAATTTGAAATTTTTTTTTACATTTATTCCTGAAGGCTATTATTTAAAATCGTTTGCTTTTTTTTTTCTGTGTAGGACTCGGTACTTGGTAGAGCAACAACGGAAGCTGACATGCGGTTCAAGTCCTGCCGAGTCGAAAATTTTTCAATTTATTTTAGATTTTTAAATATAGACTTTTTTTAAAACATGTTGGACTTTGTCTGGAAATTTGGATGTTAAATGGGTGGTAGGAAATTCCGTCCAAGTCACGAACCACCGACCACAGATGAAAAAGCCGTCAAGTTTATTCTTGTTTCAGTTTCAGTCTGTGGATTTCCGAATATCCAAAGGCAAAATAGAGATATTATATAATTGGGGTACTGCATCTGCTTTAAAGTGAATGCTTCGCCACCATCTTTCTCCTTCTTATCCTAAAAATGATATTTTATTGACTAGTACTAAACTCGAGATTTTCGAGCAGTTCAAAAAAAAATCCTCGACATTTCATCATGTCGAGTGGATAAAGCTTGAAGTTTGTGAAAATGGCCGCGAAAGTCTAGTAGGAAAAATATGTTTTTTTTAGTAAAATAAAAAACAAAGATTTAAATAATCTAAATGCACTGATACTATGAACAAAAATGTAAAAATACTAAAATATATATCAATCCAGGTGAAGAGTTGAATCGTATTATCACAGGCATATGAAACAATGTAACAATAGGGGCGCAAGAAATAAATGCTTATGAAACTCACTTGGTTATGCGAAGAGACCCGGGCAGTGACGGCGGTGAGGAGTACCAGCGCAGCGGATCTCACGACATTGGCTTCTCCGGTCTTCGAAAAGATCTCCACAGCGTAACGACAAAGAGATTCATTTGGGATATCTGTATAAAACAAAAAAATAACAGTTAAAAATGCGAAATATAATTGCGAAATTTTAACCCGTCGATCCCTCGTAACAAAGACAGCAAAGCATACGAAATGTTGGATCGTAGAAAACATAAGTTGCAAATATGTCCGCGTTTTAAACCGTTAAATGTTTTACATGTTACTAAATTATAGATATATAGAACGATCTATAAAATATTATTCATAATTAAATAATATAATATGAATTAAAAAACGCTTTCCGTGCTGTTCGTCTAACCATTTGATCTTATCCAATTCTTTTAACCTATTGGGACAAGCACTTCTAGCGCAATGTAATTTCAAACTTAACACATGCAATAAAATTAAGGTCAATATAATAAAATGGGAAACACAATCATTATTTCATATAAGTAAAACACTTTAACAGTTTAAAACGCGATGCATTTTAGTTAAACCTATATGAAAATAATTTTTAACTATGGTCCGACGTTTCGGATGATTATCAGACTTAAATTTCAAACAAATTTAACTAAAATATATCGCGTCTTAAACTGTTAAAGTGTTTTATTTAAATGCGTACTACTCGCGTAGACTAAAAAAGACAGTATCGTATATTCATAATATAATACTGATATTATAAATTTGATATCCGTCTTTGTTTGTAAATATTATGTTCTTGTTATATAAGTGGATGCAAATTGTATGCAAGCTATTATTTCGAAATTGCACATGTTGACAAAAATTTACACACATTTTTGAGTAATTTTTTGTTGTAAAAGTTGTAATCAAATAAAAATAGCGATGTTCAAAAACTTGCTTCTAAGCCTGACAGAGACAAAACGTGACATGAGGAATAATATTATTATAATGGTTTTTATAATTTTTTATAATGAATGCATTATTCAGCAAAAGTGCTATCAACAAATTAACACAAAATTGTTTGGAACGTCCGCCAACTAGCATCACAATCGGGTTATAAATCTGATCTTTAAATAGTATTAGGAAACAGTCTTCCCCCCTTTGACCACGACTGCTTGATTGAAAGTTAAAATTTTAATGCATATATTTCGCGTTTCAAATGGTAAACTGTTTAATATTGTGTACTACTCGCGTAGAGACGATATTTAAAGATGAGTACATGAAAAATGTAATTTTATTGTTTTGTTCTAATTTAAGTTCAATAGCATGGTTATCGTTATCAATGTGGGCCTTACAATATGCAACTTACATTGCTCTAGTTGGGGTGTCAGTTGCGCGTAGTTCGCAAGCGCAGCCGTGATGTGCAGAGACGCCGCTCGTAGCTCTGGTCTTTGGGCAGTGGCACACCTTACTACGGACTCCGTTAGGGCGCCGTCGCAGTACTCGCTCCAACGCTATTAGAAGGGTTTTTTTAATTGATGTACTACATATTTATATTGTGTAGTATTTCAGGTTCACGGATCGTCAAATAATTTTACCAACATCGGTAAATCCCTTCGTGTGTAAAAGTAACAAATTTCCCTGTTTACAAACTTGTTATCATTCGTTAATAACTTATCTACACACATATTATAGAGCTGAAGAGTTTGGCTGTTTGTTTGTTTATTTTAACGCGCAAATCTCAGGCAAACTACTAATTCGGCGTGAAAATTATTTTCTATGGAAAATGTGGAAAAAAAGTGAAAATTATTTTTCACTTTTTTCTTTCTTTGAAGGCTAACATTGCTTGCGGCTTCAGATACCCGAATACATATGTAGAAAAATAATAGATTTCCTTTAAATAATCTAAAACAAAATGTCCGCGACTGTATATGCCAATCTTTTAAGATTAACTTACAAGAAAGACTTAATGGTAATAAAATTTAATGAAACCACATATGACAAAACCACGTTTGCCCGGGGCAGTTATCTATATTTCGTTATAAAAGTGGAACATATAAATAATTTCTAACATAACAAGTTTTAACACTTTTTTAAGGGTTTAACTTTATTTGAGATAAATTGAAAATCTGTTTCGATTCATAGTGTTATACATATATAACACATAGAAATTACGACACGGACGGGACATGTACCGGCGTCCACGGCGTTCCGTTCTGCTCTAACCAATTGACCTACCATGTCCTACACGTTGTCGTCGAATTTCTTCAAGCTATTGATGCTTGCACCGTTCACGCAATCGTTGCTAATTTAATTTATTTAAGATGCATTACTTTTAAGACGTGACGATTTTAATCATAAACATATTGGCCGTCCTATAACACTTCAAAAAACGGTATATTCTCAGGGGCTTCCTCTAAGTGGTAATGAAATGACAGAGTTGACGTTTTCGTGGAATTGAACAATCTTATCAATCGCATGTCGTTTGTCATGTAACGATAGAGATTATCATAGAATCAATAACTCATACAAGGAATTAGAGCCAAGAGGGAATTCTAGGATGTACGAAATACTGCGTCATTTACGCACTTTAATCTATAGAAAAATCTTCAAGTCACTTTTGGTAATCAATCATATTGTTTTTTTTAAATGTATTTATGTTGTAAGTGTTTAGAATCGCTTCATCTCAGATTTTATAGATAAAAAGCTTTGTCCTATATACCTAAAAAAAAATACATACAGAATACCTAAAGACTTCTTGATAAAAGATAAACGAGACAGGTTTTGGCAGTTACAGTAACGCGAAAGTGTCAGAAACTCACTCACTATTGGTTAGGCACAGTTTTAGCAGAAGCATAGGGCAACAGAAGGGTTGGAGGAGACAGTGGGAGAAACAGAATCCCCCATGACCCTGGAGACTTCGTGGACTGGAACACTGGTCAATCTTTTACGCTATAGACAGTTATAATAATAAAGAGTACCTGAACGGGTAAGTTAATGCTTCTTATCCTCTTAAGAACAGCCATCAAGCCAAGCATGGTGTCCAGCCTGCAGGATTGGCCCTTTCGTCCAGCGCCGGAAGCGCATCCGGTCAACACCCTGGTCAATACCCTCAAGCTGTTGATTATCGTTTCTTCCGTTAAATCACAGAATCGGGAGTGGAGTCCATAACGTATGCAACGTAGTAATTCGTTGAGATAACCTGAAAATTAATATCTTTAATCGTAATCTACAGAAGCATGCTCGTTTCAGGCTACAAATGGACAACATTACTGAAATAAAGGACATATTAATTAGCTAAAAGAAATCATTTATATAATAACTTTAATTATTTTGTAGGTCTGTGAATCGGTTTTTATGTATTTTTCATACGCCTTAGCATTATTCACGCCTAACATTATTTACAGTATAACATTTTCTCTTCTTTCACCGAACCCATTTTGTTGTTTTAGTAATTTTAAAAATTTTACATCCTGCAGGATAACTGATCCTTACACACTAGATATGGCAAAATGTTTTCCGAGTGAGTATTATAGGAGTGTGTTATAAGTTGTAATTTCATCAGAAACACCTTATTAGTACAATGCTATACGTGTGTTAAAGGTACAAAGTTTGATAGGGAAAATAATGGTTGAAAGACTGAGTATTAAAAAAAAGATCAAAAAACCGTTTAAAACATTTGTTACAGTTTCTTTTTTACGACAGTCGATCTATTTTGAAAAATACTTACCGAGCATATGAAAATTCTTAAGGTCTATTCTCTCCAAGCAAGCGAACAGGATTTTCAAAAGGCTTTCCATTCGTGGGCTGCTGTAATCGTCGAGCTCTTCCAACATCATGATACATCTTAGGAAGACCTTAACTATGTGTATGCGCAACTGTGTGACCTCTACGTCTTCGCTGGACGACTGCTGCGGGTAGAGACGGTCTCTGCCAAGGAGCGATATAATTGTTGCTTCTTCACCGATAAACGAAGATTTAATCCAGGACATTGTTGATTCTAGCAAAAAAATACTTATATTAGGAGAAAAAGAAAAGTGTCTATTAAAAAAAATTAAAATATTGTATTGTTTTTGCCGAATGGAAAATAATTGTAATTACATCAGTATTCTCTTATAAGCAAAACAATGGAGTAACACTTCAAGTACGTGTAAACTTGGAAAGTAAATCTTGGCAAAAAGGGCGGGGCGAGTTTCTTGCCAATTCTTCTCGATCTTTCTACGCTTTTGCCTTGAGAACTAGTAGTATTCTAACTGTAGGTATTGACGTGTATATGTACATGAATATATGATTGATTGATAATTGAACCGATTTGATTAAGATTACTAAGACTTCTTACAGTTAACTGATATCAATATGAAACCCTAAAAAAATAATAGTCATCTTTGAAGAGATACTAGATTCGCCGGGTCAGAAGTTCTTCCTGGACCAATTTAAACCATTTTTTCACACAAATATTCTTAATTAATGATATATTTTAGTTGCTTTAAAATAGGGCTATTGTTGTATCCTTTAATAAACTTTAACTAATACAATTTTCGCTGTAAGAGATAACTTCATTGATTATAATAGCAATATTTTGAAACTATTACCTCCTACAATGCTTTACTGAATATTATGGCCCATTTATCAGTAGACAATCTTATTTTAATATACACTTTCTAGAATATACTTAGATAAAATTGATTAGAGACGGCCTGGCTGGCGGCATTGTTTTTTACCGAGATCATTACTGATACGATTACTGTATTGATAAGAAGTGCAATTTTTATCGTCTAACGTATAGTAAATACTTTATTTTTATTGTCTTTTAATTTATAGCGTAATAACTTTTAACATATAATATGATAATGGCGTAACATAGTAATTCTTTATTGCGAGGTTTATAAAAATAAGCCAATTTAAGATGATGCAAGTAGTCCTGTCACCTGTGTCTTCGGGCACGTATAGATTATGTTGCGGCTCGTTTGCCGTAACAGATAATAGATTTAGTCTTTTTAGGGTTCCGTAGCAAAAATTTTTAAACGGAAACCCTTACGAAACTATTTAGCTCTATGTCATAAGAATGATGCAGTTGTGTGTTTATTAACAATTTAATCATTCTCAAACAAGTTTAATTAAATATATGACGTTTTAAACCGTTAAAATGTTTTATTTAAAAGGTAGAATGTTGTAGCTAAACTAGCTTTTAACAAATCAATTACTTGCACCTACTAAAACTACTTGTACACAGTTATTGAGGATTCTTTCTACGCCCAGAGACCTTTAAAATAATCTTCTATTCTAAGCCATTTGCGAAAACCAAGTACTTTCGACAAATAGCATGTTCTTACAGAGACAGATAAGATTAATTTAATTTGTTTTTCTATTCTATAACTCTTTTTATATCAAACTCAGATTTTGATTAGATATACTATTTGTATAAACGGTGTTAATTTATAATATACTAGCTGTACCAGCGACTTCGTTCGCGAGAATCATTATTTTGGGCATCCAAATTCGTTTTTGCAAACCCCATCATATTTATAAACTTAAGCTGTTACCCACGACGTCTGTGTCAGTTCCTGAAATTAGCGCGTTCAAACAAACAAACTCTTCAGCAATTTAGTATAGATAAAGAACACACACCTAGAGTAAGTACTGAATACTCGACAATTACAGGATACAGAAAATGTTATACACATCGAAATCATATATAAATAATATTAACCATCGTGTATACACATTTAATTATAAATGCTTATTTATATTTAATAACAGGAGACAGAAAAACCTATGGATCATTTGATGACAGGTGAAATACGCCACCCTATAATATCCCAACAAAATTAGCTGTCGACCAATTTTGGCTTTGAAAATTCGGAAATCCACAAACGCGATGAAACTGACGGAATTTCTTATGATGTGCCGTTTCCATCGGCCTATATGCCTACATCGGGCGAACACACTTTTGTCCGTTTAAATGATAAAATCGTTACTTATAGGCAAGTAGTTAATCAGATTCCTGTGCCCTCCTGGACAAAAACAATTTGACGTTTCCTCGGAATTCGAACTCAAGACATATCGTACAACGCAATGCTAGGCGACACGTTCAACTATTTAGCTAGGGAGGCGGCGTTATTTCCGTACATGTATAAACTGTTTATAAACATTTTAAACCCGATGGGGACTGAAGCCACGACCCAAACTCAAACTCCGTCAAAATCAAAGTCGAATAGTTTTTATTCACAACCTATAGAACTAAGAATGTACTCACCAATATTAGGCACGTTGTCCATATAAGCGATGACAAATTGTAAGAGCGTGACTAAGAGTTGAGTATCGCGTGACGACGCTGGAGGTGCAGTGAGAAATCTCTTCAAGTTCTGCCATTTGAGGTTACCAAATTCTTCCGGGCAGACGGTTGCAGATTGCATTACGCGGGCATAGCTTGAGGACAAAAAGATAAAAATAAGCTGTAATATAATTTAAATATCTATTTAGTTTAAATACTGTCTGTAGTTTACGCGAGTAGTACACATTTAAATAAAAACAAAATTTAAATTAAAACTTTTTATTGCCATTCACACATTTACAGTAAATTTATGACTTATAACTAAATAAGGTAAATAAACCAGTCTCAGCTGTGCTACTAAATGCTTGTCACGCTCAGCAGCGCTGGTGTGCAGCCAGGCCCGGGTATAGAAACTGTAGGGTATATTCTAGTTTCTGTTGTACTTCGTGTTACTGTGTAAAACTATCACAGAGTCATAACGCGTGGGGGGGGGGGCGTGTAGCTTAGAACCATTTTCTCCCACTACATAAATGCTTTTACATAATTTTGAAGAGATCTGAGTCCAGGCACTAATAGGTTAAACGAATCGCAACAATATTTTTATAGTCCTCATTAAATTTACCTTTCCAACACATAAAGAGCTTCGTTCACTTGAGTATGACTCGTCGCGTTCTCCAAGTTCAAGAGAGCCTTACTACAAGAGTAGTCCGCACACGCTGATCGCAATAGTTCCAAATCGTGGGTACTAGGGGGTGAGGCACCCCGATTAGCCTGCAGCAAGTGCACACCACGCTGCTTCGTACCACCAGATAGCAACCACCACCATCTGACCCGGATTGCCGTACGCCAAGCAGTGTCATTGAGGAGCCATTCTTAAACAAATAAGTTATATTAAAAAAATAGTGTTTAATATATTACAATTATGTAGGGTATAAAGCGGACACAATTCTGAAACTGTTTTAAAAGATGTTTGTAATTATACTGGATTGTTGGTCCTATGTACATATGGCTAATAATCAATGGGTCGTAGATTCGATTTATGGCTTAAATACTGTAAGTATTATAAATCTTACACCTATTATTATTAGTATTACACCTAGGTCACGAAAATCTACAGATTATAAAGCGGTGTAGTGTTCCCGCGTTTCATCTACCATCAAGTGAAAACTATGCTTGTCAGATCAAGAATCAGATTTCAGCCCTAAGCGGCTGGAATACTATCTTTTTGGATTCAAACCTCTCACGCAGAACACTGGCCAATGTGTTTTACCATTGACCTATCCAAGTTTGTATTATAAGCAATTGCCTCTATACACAACACTTTACCGGTTTAAAACGCGATATATATGAGTAAGATTTATTAAAAACTGGATTCCAAGAAACACCGTATCGACAAACGAGAATACTCAATTCAGCAAGGACCCAACCAGTTTCACCAAATACCAAATACGATGGAGCAGATGGCGTTAGCGTAGCAGTATTTAAATACTTCTAGTTGACGCGAGTAGTCCTTTAAATAAAAACTTTCTCCATCTTTAAAACGCGATATATTAGTTAAACTTATTTGAAAAGATTTTATAACTCGCCCGACGTTTCGGATGCTTTACAGCAGCCGGCACGGGGAGCCGGGGCCGAAGTTAAAAATCATTTTCAAATAAGTTTAACTAATATATCGCGTTTTAAACCGTTAAAGTGTTTTATTTAAAAGTAGCAGTATTTACTTTGACAAGAGACTCCCATCTTTAGTCTCCCCGTGACCACAGCTGCTGCAAAGCATCCGAAACGTCAGGCCGTAGTTAAAATAATTTTCAAATAAGTTTAACTAATATACATCGCGTTTTAAACCGTTAGATTGTTTTGTTTTAATATGCGCATAAACTACAGACAGTATTTAAGAAATTACCCACTGATCCATGTTCCGCATTGGGACTAGTGGGCCAATAAGTGTTCACGGCAAAAGGCAGAGACACACGCTCCACGACGCTCAGTGGCAGCGCTGGTACTCGCCGACGGGAACTATCCAGCTCTTGCAGCACGAAGCCAGCCCACCCCAATAGACCAAGCACTTGAGCCGCCATCGTTACGTGGCTCTCGTTCGCAGGAAATACTAGTATAGCTTTTGTTTACAAGTAACATTAATTAACAAAGAAGTGATATTTTTTAAGGTTTCGAACCCACAACGCTGCGTAAAGGAGAACTTATTTAAACTATATTTTTTAATTTAAATATTATAATATTTAATTTAATCTATTTAAGTAATATTTTTAATATAAAACTGTATAATTTTAAAGGGCTACTGTACGTGTATATACTGTGACATAAAGCTAATAAAACAATAGACAATCAGATACCTCTTATCAAGAACAAAGGCAGGTCACATAACTTCGATAGAGCATGTCTCGCGACAAAGCACACGCTGTTTAGGACGGAAACGCAACTAATAGCGCACTCCGGAAACGCCAAGTAGTCGTCTACTGTTAGCGACATTCTGAAATAAAGTTAATAATTATATAACAGAGGTGGACAGACACTGGCACTGGATGGAGGGTGAATTATCTCAGCTTGAAACATTATTAATTTCACATGTCATGATGTGTAGGACCAATCAATAGCACATGCGGAATTCGAAGATACTACATTAAAGTTGCGCCCCTAGGTGCATGTTTGTGAAACACTGTTGCTGAATCTTTCCGTAGCGGCTACAATAATATATTAATTAAATTTAACGTAAATAAGATAAAGAGGTTCTTAATAAGAAGTACTGTCGACCTTTAAACACTACAATATAATATTACATCAACTTATAATCGCCTAAAGGTGTTTTTCTTAACACTTTTCAAACAATCATGTATGTTACAGGATATAGAGAACAAAGCCACAGTAGCAACTATAAACGTACAGACATAAACTACCCCTATATATTTTGATAGCAATTTGTTATAAGTTATAGGGTAGCATATGCTATATAGCTCCTTACTGTTACCCCGTCGTCTTCTGTACGCCTGCGACGAAGAACATAGTATACTGTCTGTGTTAGTTAGAATCACGCCCTCTGTCAAGGTACGGAAACCCTTAAAGGTGAATAAATTTCCCCGCTTCATCCACATTTCCCACTGTATCTTCACCCCTATTGGTCACATCGTGATGTTTTATAACCTAAAGCCTTTCTCGATAAATGCCGATACAATTTTTTTTTTAAATTCCAACCAGAGATTAGCGCGTTCAAATAAACAAACACACTTTTCCACTTTTATATATTAGTATAGATTATGACCTGCAAAGTATTACCTAAGCAACGCACCAATAAGTTTGACGCCATCGTGCCTTATAAACGCGTCGTGCTGGTCCTGCTGACGCATCAAAACAGCCAGCTGTTGCAGAGTACTGCGCCGTAGAGACGGCTCCAAGGTCGGTTGTGAGTTGACTCTGATAGTTGCTAGGTACTCTGTGTCATCCAATACTAAATCTTGCTTCAACACTTCTAGAAGCTGGACCAGTCCTGTCGTCTGCAAATGGTGTACTAATAAATACTTTTTTTTTACAATTAAAATCAGAAATCAAACCCCCCGCCGGAATCGTGGGTTCAAATCTCGGGGATACGAATTTTTTTTAAGAGGGTTGGGACACCGTCTGATCAACTTGTTTTTAAAGTAATTCGCCCCATGCCCCACGAAGGGATTGGGGTTTCACTCAAAAATTAAGGCATGTATGGCGTCAGTCTTGGTTAAAAAAAAAAACTTTAAAGAACTAAAAGTTACAAAACGATTTTAGATTGAAATAAATTACGACACGGGCATGAGGTCCTGCCCGTGTCGTACATTTTTTTATACTTTTTTTTTAAATTTGCATAATCCAGCCAGCACTCTAAAAAGTTTTGCTAACCTGTGTCTTCTTTGTAGGCGAACTAGCATGATCGATATTAAAATCCAGAACTTCGACTCTGCGTAATGCGTTTATCAAAATATCCGTTCGCAGAGTTTCTTGTGGAGGTAGATACTTGCTGTCATCTAAAAAATGTAATCAAATTGTAATACAACAAGGAAAGTTGAAATACATAAATAGTAGTTAAAATACGTTAATAAATATATTACGCGGTCTAAACCGTTAATAGTGTTTTATTCAAAAGCAATACAATTCCACCATTCGGCCATCGAACCTGTAAGAAATTCCTCCTATAGTATGTTTAATAATACCAACAATACGTTTATTATTGTCTTACCTAGGACGCCGCAGAGAGAATGCGCCGCGTACATTTGTACCGCGGGGCACTTGACGAACAATAGTCTAACTAAGCCCCAAACCATTTCCGCCTGCGATACGCCCATACACTCTACTATGTCCACTTCTAGAGATTTACAGATCGCTTTTCCTGTGAAAGGAGATGAGTTTATCCTAGTGAATACGTCTGCAATGATACAGATTCGAAAACTCGACAGTCTAAATGCTTATTTTTATTACGTTATTCTATGTAGAAATAGTTTTTTAATTTATGTTGTTATATATTTTTATTGCCTAAAATAGCTTAATAAATTATATTAGAATTAAATTCAAATTCGGTTAATGGTTTTTGCGTGTAGAAGTAACAAACACATAAATCCTTACAAATCTGAAATCACGATTACTTTAATTAAATAAAAATACCTAGCTGTGTCTCGTGAGCTGCGTACACATGCAGCAAGGGCAGCACGGGCAGCAAGCTAGCTAACAGCCGCCACCAGCATTTTTCGCTGAGAACCAGACGCCCCCGTAGGAGATATAGCATTATATCTGACGCGCCTTCCTCCACCTTCACGTTTTAAAGGATATATGTACGTTTCTATGTTACGAATTATATATTCATAGATACAGATGTAGATACAAAATGTATTTCAATAAAAAGAAAATCGTGACTCGAATGACGACTACTGTCTCACACATGAGCTACCGTGTCACATAATCGCCAGATTTTTTAAATCTATTTTTACATGCACAAACTTTTAACGCTTAAAAAATATTTTCACATACTATTGCATTAAATAATTATAAAAAAAATGATATACTATGATACTTTTTCAAATATGAAACAAATTTAAAAGATTTTAAATGTGAAATATATTTTTTCCTTTATTTTAACTACGACGCTATGTTTCGAATGTGTTGCAGCAGCCGTTATCACGAGACGAAAAAGTTTTTTTTTCTTTAACATTAGTAAACAAATATATACCGCGCTTTACATGGTAAGTTTTAATGTACACCAATAGCGTACACTACAGATAACAATTGTCCTTATATTTTTACTAACTGACATACATACCTCAGCTTGACTGGAAGACAATCCATGACAGCATATCTCTGTGAGGATAGTCACATCACACAGTAATGTAAGATCATTTTCCTTATCAGACTCATCAGTCAATACAGACTTCACCAAATCCACTAATTTCTGGTAGAACTGTATCTGAATCCAGGGCGTCGGATGTGCCATTAAGGACAAAGCAATACTTCTTGCTTCACTCCAGTCCTTCTCATCAAAATTCAGGTCTCTCCCCATTATAATGTCGGCCATGTCACTCAGGAGACCCTCGTTTCTATGTATCTGCAGGACTGGAATGGAGTTCTTGACGCAGGGCAATATATCCTTCGTTATGCGTCCATTGGCTTTCATGAAGCTCACTGCGTGATCCATGCTTGAGTACAACTTCCTCAGCTCTCGGTATCGACTTTTGAACTCTTGGTCAACGGACGATTTGGCGTTCTGAAAATAGTAATTTTTTATAAGTATAGAATTCTTTATCTTCTGGAATAGATTTCCTTGAAACCAAATGAGTCTTTTAATACCATAATAACTTAAATTTAATTATATTATTGACAGAAAAAAAAATACATGTATAATTAATAAAATTAAAACAAATGCTCTATTAACATAAAAAATATTTCGACTAAACTTGATTACAATAATGATTCTTGTGAGTTTTAAAAACAACTCTATGATTGTGATTTGGCGGAATTTTTATTTCCCCATTTCCCACAGTTTCTCCTATTGGTCGCAGTCTGTATTACAACCTATCTCGATAAATGGTCAAATCAACACAAAATTATATATTGAACCAGTAGTTCTTGAGATTTACGTGTACAAACAAATAAGTTTAAACATTATAATATTAATTGCCTTGTCAAAAACTGACATTGGCGTTGGGAGCTTTGGAGACGTACAAACGTTTCCAGGGCTACCTCGAAAGTGCCGTAGCGGGCTGGTGGTGTATTTAGTGGCTCGGATCGTCTATTGTGTCCCCAAGTCACTATTACCCAACATGGGGGTGCAATAGAGATTGACACCATCAGTAAAAAGGGGGTAGTGAAATATCTATTTTTCTTTATTATAAACTAAACGAAAGCTCAAAACATTACATAGAGATGAGGTTATCCTGAGGTAAACACTGACCTTTAAAACTGAATATATCTTTTTATTAAGCTCTGGATATAATATATCCACTCCCGGATCCAAGAGGCTCGTTTGCAAGGAATTTAGTAAAGACGTGGGAGGCAGAGGCGAGTTTCTGGTCCAGTTCAGAAGAGAAGATGCGCAGGATAAAAGCCGAAACCATGCAACCCTGTGTTGGACTCTTTCTGGGTCTGTTTGATACGAGTCGCTGGAAAAAGTATATGAATATCCTTTAATATATTAAGCAGGTACCTTTTCTTATTAAACGTAATACAGCGTTACATAAATAACGAGTTGTTTAATATAATAAAATAATGACTATTAAAACTACTGCGTTTACTTGATTAGAGGTAAAATATTTTAGCCCTATCTAAAGGAGATTCGCAATGAGATCGATGACCTCTTTAACCAAGTAACGTTCCATTGTTGGGGAAAGATCTCCTCTCTCATGGCATAAAATAATATGAGCTTAGACCCCAACTACTTAGCAAATAACCGCTAAAACTAATAACGTACTTAAAAGTTACTTAGCATATTTGCAAAGCCAAAACTAATTTTTCGCTCAACGCAATATTCGAACAGTGTTACTATACTTGTGTAGTACTAGTACTATCCTAAAAGTTCTATTAACTAGACCAACGAAGCAGTTTATTCCTTAATTAATATTTATTTATTTAACTCTTTCTTGCAACACACACACAGTATATACAAATGTTATCTTAAAAATAGTCCTAAAAAATACAACTATTAGAGAAAAGAAAAATATTGGATTAATAGTTTCGGGCGGCCTTATCGCTTTAGAGCTATCTCTTCCAGGCAACCCTTGTTCGTTGTACATTATTCTAATTTATCTTTACTCACTGGTATTTCGACACTAGCTCCCCCAGCATGCGCATTGCCATACAACTTTTATGCGCTATATTTCTTTGAGTCTTGGAAGAGTGATCAGTTTTCCAAAAGTTTTCATCAACACAGTCCAATAGAAATGCAACCAGGGCTTCTATGAGGGATAGACACACACTATGCTCCCGCTGAAACAATTATTGTACTATTATGTAATAAAACTCTTTTAACAGGTTTAAATGTGGAATGTATTATGTTCACTAGTTAGTAACTACGACCCGATGTCACGGGCCGCGTTTACAGGGAGACTGAAGATTTTCATCTTTTATCAAGGTGTATTTAAATGTACTTTTTAAGTTCAACCTTTAAACGGTTCAAATCCGAAATGTATTATGTTATTTTTGGCTTGTTAAATTTTTTATTTGTTTCACAATGTCTATTCGATTGAGTGATGACAATAGGTCTTGTCTGTTATTTATGTGAATACATTATAGCATCCAAAACGACAGCTATACATATATTACATGTTTTAAACTGTAAAAAGTGTTTTGTTTAGTTTTATTCTGCACTCAATACTTGACTGTACATGTTATCTTCTTACCATGGTTAAAACTTCTTTACCATCTGTTTCTATAAGCACAACACTCTTCACCATCATGCAGAGAATTGTATGCATGGTATCCAGGGCATATACGGGGGCGGGCAGCTGTCGTAGAGCAGCTAGTTTATCTTCCAGCGGTGTCCCAGTTCTGCCGACCAACTCTTCCAATTCTGCATTCATTAGATCGTAGGAATCACGGTTATCTATTAAAATCTAAAAAGAAAGAAAGAATTAAAAACTATATTTGCTTTTGGTAGGATGATAATATTTATGTATCTCAATGATGACGTACAAGCATACTTAATCACTTTATGTAAAATTATCAGTTTGCTCGGGTTTGGCACAATTTTTATGTGCTGTCGGCCTCTTTTAAACATTCACAGATCCACAGATTGAAATGCAATTAAAGCTGCATCGACAGCTTCAGTACTTTTTATTATTACTGCCCAAAAGTATAATTTAAAATAATATTTAGTTACCTTGCTATGTTCGCAAACTAAATCTGGTGAAAAAAGCTGCTTCAACCTTTTATGCAGAGCCTTAGTTAGATACAGCAGTACATTCAAAGACTCTCCAGGTGCACTGCCATACTGTCCGTCAGATATAGCTAACAGCCCCTAAAATAACATATTTTCAATCATCAAGCACAGAACTTTGAACCTCAATATATATTTCTTAAATTCTAAATTACATTGTGTGAACGAGACGCTTGCACAACAAGATGATATCTTACGTATATCAATATAATATAATATTTTTTTTAACAATATTTTTATAAGCCTTATGGACCGCTTATGCAGCGAAAGGTTTTCACGTGTTGCTAACATTCTGTTAAACGAGAGGTTCTGAAATCAAATAGACTGTTTCGGGCACAGAAGTCTTACTAAATAAGTAAGATTTGTGAAACAGACATAGAAATGTGTATGGATTTCATGTTTTTATAAAGTTGTTTGTAAACATTACTATAAGTTGTACTAAAAATACTAAAGGTAGAGTTTAAAAAAAATAGAAATGTTTGAGAAGAAGGTTGACCTAACATTAACATCTTCTACTGAGAAGGAATGGAGACTTTTGTGCAATTTCCTCATAACTTGGCTTCAATAGAACGAATATAATCAGATTTAGTTAAATATATACCTTAACAATTGATGGCCTGTTTAAAAATATTTCTGGTGGAAAATCACATAAGAATACATCTTTGATGAACCTGCAGCAGCGCCTTGTTGACTTGACTAGTTTTAAAGAATCCTCAATAAGAACAATTGTTTTATAATCAGACGGACTTAAATCCACCCATCAATAGGAACATTTATTCCATTTGATTTATTTCCTGAAACTAAGACATTAGAAAACATTAATATTTTTCACATGTTATTGCACATGAAGGCACTATACAATTTAAAAATCCGAAAATAAATTGAAAAATTTTCGACTCGGGCAGGACTTGGACTCGCGCAGGACTTAACCGGCATCGTCAGCTTTCCGTGCTGTTGCTCTACCAATTGAGCTACCGAGTCCTACACCTGCACCTGAGAGAGTATGTCAATAGTTGAAGAAATTCGACGATGAGGTGTAGGACTCGGTAGCTCAATTGGTAGACCAACAGCACGGCAGGCCGCGGTTGCCGCTTCCAGCCCCCCCCCAAACAACATGTTTTCATTTATTTTCGATTTCTGAAACTAAGACATTATTTATACTTTTCTATCGGGTACACCTGTAGAAGAACACACAACTAAGAGATATATTTTAATTTATATAATGATTATTATATAACTTCGCCGTATCGCCTGTGTCTTCTGCCATACCAAACAATTTCTCGTTCCCCTGGACTTACACCCCAACAACTCTTTTGCCTACCAAGCATACCAAGTACTGTACATGCACTTGCAATCATTGAGCAACAGAAGGTTTTTGCTTGGCTCATGTGCGACCTTCAATGTATAGTGATTACTTTAGCAGTATCAGAATCAATACATATATGGTGGCAGACAGACCGATAGTAAAGTCTTAGTATCATATTTTTCTCTGTGGGTACAGCACCCCAAATACATTAAAGACTGATGTGGAATTCGTTTTTTGTAATTATTTCTATAGAAATTCAGATAACATTGTTATTAAAGTGTGATTGTTGATTAGTATATGCAATTACCCAGTGCTGTATTTCATATCTTCATTGGAGTCAGTGTGTTCTGAAGATTGTTTATTGACAGAGCTGTATAATTGGTCATTGTATGATGCTCCATTTTCAGAACTGAAATGATATTAATACATATATAAGTTTCAAGCTTTAATTAAGATTTTCATTTGCTAATATAAAGTTTGTATTAGGATTTTACACCAAGAGTAAAGCTAGCTTATACTGTTTCATATCAGTTAATATTATATCCTAGTTAAGGCATTTTTCCAAAGAAATTCCTCCTTCCTGTGAAATGCAGATGTTGTTTTAAATTTAAATTAGATAAATCGTGGTTAAGCTACTTGGGACTTTTATAAAACTTATATTTTAAATTCTAAGTAGTGTTTCTCATATGTTTAGCATATAGCAGAACCATTTATATATCTGTTTAAATGATTAATTATTAAAGAAATATTTAAATGTTCACTACCAGGAGAAAAGGAAAGCAGCAGCAACTTATTAGTTAATAAGATGTTTTTGTCAGTAAAAACCGTTTAAAAAAATACACACCTGATACTAGAACTTGATGGTATGTTTAATCTAGGCACATTTAGATTATCATTAGATTCTACAGTGTTAATGAACTTCAGTGTTTCCACAATATCCTCATAAACTTCTATAGCATCTGAATCAATTTTAGATTTATTTTTGTAGAGAATTTCCAAAATCTTCCTTATATTGTATTCCCTTGCGGCATAGCTGCCACCTTTAGTCTGGAAATAAAAATAAATAGAGATCAGAACAATCCTTATTATTTATGGAGTATAAAAAATATTCAAGACAATCAACTAAATGAAAATTGGATTCCAGTTAGAATTAGATATGACAAATTATTCCTTTTTTGTGAAAAAGCCCGGTTATCAGTCCATATAAACTGGAAACTATTTCCTCCCATTTCTCCTTTACACAGTAAGTTTGTTACAAGGCTATAAATCTATAATACATATATAAAATTATGTATATAAGTATTACTTTAATAATGCTAAGTAGCAATTCCAAAGCTTCTTTTTGCATTGTGGGTTGTTTAACATCAAACCAGGTAATAAGAGCTTGTAAAAGCTCCCGATTTCGTGTGAGTTCTTCATTTAATGACCAACCCAGTTGCAACTTAGCTATGAGTAACTGCAACGAACGTTCTCGTATTTCTTTTAGGGGGTGACCTGAAAAGAGCGTTATTTTTGAAAAAAAGAATAATTTTCACTTTACTCTTAAAAAAGAGCACATACTTAGTTTCTTTATATAAGTTGAAAGAGCTTCGCCTGTATCCATAGTGTTATTTAAAGTTTATTGTTCGAACATGAGTTGTAAAAAAGTGATTTGTAAACCAACTTTATTCTAACCGAAACCATAATGAAATTCCATTTACGATGAGTACTTTATAACTGTATAACGTAAATAATATTTTACAGTAGTACAATTTTAGTTTTTACAATTTCTGAATACTCAATGGAATATTTTGTTTATTTTCAAAACAAACAACGAAAATGAATGGTACATTGAAGTTGTAAAAGTGCAATAAAAACCGCCATCACCTAAAATTATAAAACCACAGACAACTATTACACAGAATTACTATAGTCTCGCGTTAACTTGATTCATTGCGAATCGTTTTTATTTAGTTTCGAAATTATTTGCTATGATAATTGTCAAATCTGTCAACTATCACATTGAATAAGTATGAAGACCGGCTGATATAAAATATAAAATGTTATGATTTATGAACTAGTTATAAATTATAATTCAAACAACATAAGGTAAATAATGCCCCGTCTGCAATTTCCAGCTGCGGTTAAAATAAATAAAAAAGCAATTCATTAATTATATTTTCAGATTACCTGTGTTTTATATAAAATGAGGAAGGTTAAACGGCAGTTTTCTTTCAGATGGCAGATGTGAAGTCATTGCTTAAAGAAGCACGAAAACTTATAGATGAAAAAAGTTACAAAGATGCTCAAGAGTGCTGTAAAAATATTCTTCGAAAAGACAAGCAAAATTATCTAGCGCTTGTGCTTCTAGGTAAGGCATTGCAAGATTCAGATCAAGCTCCATTAGCTTATCAAAAAGCTATTGCCACTAAACCCGATCTTCCATTGGCTTGGCAAGGGTTAGCAAGTTACTATGAAAGAAAAGATGATAATGAGTCCCAAAATAAATTAATTCATATTTATTATGAAGTTTTAAAACTTTCTAATGAAGAAGAGAAATCACTTGAAATCATTACTAAACTTGGAAAATTAGGATGTTCTTTGAAGAGTAGGGATGCTATATCAGTATTGGTGAACTATATTAGCTCTAAACCAGATGCAAAAATAAAGGAAGTAGCAGTGGGCCAACTGCTTAGTATCTTAAAAAATGATGTCCAATGCAAAGAGGAAGACATCTTAGGCCTATTGGATATTATTAGCAACAGTTTGACAAGTGATTCAAATGACAACCAAATTATTCATGCTAAAATAATTTTGCAAAAACCAGACTTTGTTGCAGCTCTTAATGATGTGATAAACCTAATTTTTTTTCCCACTAATGTCACACTTAGAGAGTGGTTCTGTAAGAAATTGTGTGAATTTTATATTCAGGAAAGCTCATTTATGGGTTTTGATATAGAAGGTAAGCTTGATATAATAATACAGGGTATTGGAAATTGTAAATATCCAGAAATATTAAAAAGTATGATATTATTTGACAAGGGACTTTACGTTGAAGCATATAAAAAATGTATCCCTTTAGTAAATTATCAGGAAGCTGATAAAATTGAAGCTACACTCATAATTAGATGTGCCATGATACTTAAGAAATGGTCAGTTGCCCAAAAACTTGCAACAAATTTTTTAATTAAAGTAACAGACCCTGAATTAAAATCTACATTGAAAAAGTTGTTGTTCCAATCACTCTATCAGCAACAAAAATGGCAACAAGCAATTAACGTTGTAAAAGAGATCCCCATTGACACTTTAGATGACGATGAACAAGCTGCTATGGCCAAATGTTGTATTGAAAGTAATGAAGATGCAGACAATATTGTTCAGAATCTCAATAAAACTAAATATTTTTCGCAGTTAACAGCTCTTTCGATGATGAAAGAAGAAAAATATAGTGAAGCTATTTATTTACTGGAATGTGACTCCTCTAATCATCCATTAAATTTGTTTTATTTGGGAAAGTGTTATTGGTTTTTAGAGGAATACGAACAATGTTTAATTAGCTTATTAAAATCTGCAAAGCTGAACACTGAACATGCCGATACATTTTTGTACCTTGGACATTTTTATTATAAAATTAAACAAGATTTGAGTAAAGCAAAGAAATGCTACGAGAAAGCATATAGTATAAGTGGCACAGAAGAAGACATAGTTAGGAGCTTAAGCGAAATTTATTGCAAATTAGGCCTTAAGGATTTAGATTATGAGTTATTGACGACAAATCAAGAATCATGTGAAGCTTGGGTCAATTTTAGGCTTGGACTTCATTATCTTAGTAAAAGGGAATGGGAAAATGCCATCTTACAATTTAGAAATGTTATAAAAAGTGATAGAAATCATGTCATTGCTTTTGAATGTTTAGCCGATGCATATTATTCACGTGGTTCTTATACATCAGCATTAAAAGCGTATACTAAGGTAATTTCATTACAGCCAAGTCGTAGCAATCACTGTTTGACTAGAATGGGCTACATTCATTGCATGTTAACGCAGTATGAGGAAGCCATTTCAACATTTAAAAAAGTACTACAACTTGACAAAGATTCTATCCTAGCCCTAAAGGGTATAGCCGAAACTTGGATAAAAGTTGCTAAAAAGAGGGCCTCTAATAAGTTATTTGGATCTGCAAGGGACTCTGCCCAATTTGCAATTGATTATATTTCAAATGCATTGGCTCTTGGAAAGAGCTACACATGTTTTTGGAACTTAATGGCAAATGCATTAATCTTAATAACCACACTGCCTGATCGTTATTCTTATGTCAACATTACAAATTCAATGAATGGAGAAAAAAATATTACTAGAAAAGAAAAATTGGATATTTTTCCACATACCCTTGCTTGCTATTCAACAGTTGCTAAAATGAAAACTCAGATTTGTTCTTATGATTTAGCACTGACATATTTACTTTACTATCATGCATCACAGTCAAAGACCCATTTGCAAATATCTTTCAAATTAGCTTTGGCATGTATTAACTCTAAACCTACTGCGTGGCGACCATGGAATTTATTAGGAAAAATATGTATTTTTATGAAAATGTATGATAAAGCTCAACATTGCTTCATTAAAGCCCTTCTAATGACAAGAAAATGGTCTGTTGCAAAGATATGGTGTAACTTAGGCACCCTTTATGTCAAAATAAATTGTCATAAGTTAGCAAATTATTGTTTTTGGCGCGGACAGTCAACTTTGCCTTCTTATCCTCAAAGTTGGATTGGCCAAGGATTAATTGCAGAAGTTATACGGGAAGAGGAAGCAATGGACCTATATAGGCACGCCTCTAGGCTAGGCTACCACCCCGAAAGTGCTCTTGGCTACGTGGACTGGGTTTGCAGAACTCTAAAAAACAACAACTACCACCCAGATAGCAGAGAATTGAAGTACGTTATTGATGGTTTATATGCTATTACGTATAGCATTGATCTTATGGAATGGTTTTTAAATTATGAGCCCCATAATGCTTGTGCATTGAATATTATTGGTATATTACAAGAAAGAATAGGACTGCTACAAGTTGCATATAAGTCTTACAAAAAAGCATATGAATTATGTGATGAAGAAATGAAGAACATAATCAGACTTAATATTGCAAGAGTTTTAAATAGGCTTGAAAAATATGACGAGGCAATTGTTGCATACCAAAGTGTAACTGAAGCCAGTTTAGACTCAATGTGTGGATTAGCTTTAGCATTATTTAAAAAAGGACAATATGAAGAATCATATGCAGCCTATGATACTGCCCTACATTGGCTAAGTAATGAAGACAAAGAAAAATCTGAAATTTTGGTTGCTATAGCAGGTATTGTATACATGTTTAAAGGAATAGATGACTCTAAAACAATTCTATTCCACAGTATACAAGTTTCTCAAAATAAACCTATTCCGTACAGTCTGTTTGCAATTTGTTCATTAGGAATATTGCACTCTGACCAGGGTTTATCTAAACTGGCTCTCAGTGAATTACAAAAATATGAAAAGGAAGATAAATTTGCATATGATATTGGCTTTCTTAAGTCTTACCTCATATTTAATACTAATGTAGACCTTGCCATAAAATCAATAAGTGATTCTTTACACAACCACCCTAGTAATGGTAAACTATGGTTTTGCATGTCCCAGTACTGTTTGGAAGCATCAAACAACAGGGGCAAAGTGGCCAGTTGCTGTGCTCAAAGGGCAATGCATTCTGTTCATAATAGCTGCACCCAAAATGAAATGGGAAAAATGTTATCTACTGCAAGTATAGCTGAGAATGTGAGTGGTAATAAAACAAAATCATTCAGTTTAGCAAAGCAAGGTCTCCATATGTACCCAAATCAATCTGAAATCTGGGCTGCTTTAATATTTTCATTGTTGACTCAAAGTCAGACATTTAATCAAAAGGATTGGACATTAGCATCAACTAATTATATGCGAAAACATTTTAATTTAACGAGACCCATGACTAGGTGGATCAGTTTATTAGAAAAAAAATTGGATCAATAGTATTGTTAAGGATTTGCTTTTAATATGACATAACAATTTTTATTATGAACATTTATTACAATAATCATTTTAATAAAACATAACCTTAATACCAGTGTTTTAATAATCAATTTGTATTAAGAGTAATGTTGTCACAGACTCTTCGAAATACTGCAAGGAATTTGTCACCATTATTTCTGGATACCTTTTGGCCTTCTTCAGTACTTTCAAATAGTTTATCAACAATTTTATCTTCTTTCTAAAACAAAAAAGAGCAAAGTAAGAGTGAAGTACTTAATCTTTCCTATATTAATAATATAAGAAAAATCATTAATAGGTACCAGTTCATCATCTGGTATTCTTTCAAATAGTGGATGATCTTCGAAATGGTTAACCATCCATTCATGTAGGTCCTTTACATCAGTTATAGTGTACACAATAGCCTGAAATCAAAATGCTTGTTAACATAGCATATTTATCTAAAGTGATCTAAGTTATTGCTTTGAATTTTAATTTTTAGAAATATGTAGTAGGAAATTTTGTAGTACCTTAAATATTAACTTTATTTTGTAACTTATTGACGATTGGTCTTAAATGTTTATAGTACTAAGTAATATGTATAGTAAATACAGTGTAAACTCCATGTAACGTCAACTCTCTATAACGCCATAAAATGCACAGTCCCTTCAGTGTCGCTATATAGAGTTTACACTGTAGTCTCAATAGATAAATAAACTTTTACCTTTTCAGCTAAAACATAAGCATACTCTGAGAGTAACCACTTGTTGATAATTCTCCATTTGTGTTTTGCTTTCTTGAAGTGTGGATCTGGATATAAGAAAAACATTTTTTTAAGCTGAAAGAAAACAGTTTTTTAATAATATAAACATATGTAATAATTTCATTTAATAGTCTGTTTAATACAAAAATATATAATAACATTACCATTCTAATTGACAGGTTTATAAAATTGCTAATTACAATTATTAGTCTCAATATAGTAAAAATTTCTTACCTGGCCTTTGTGGAAGAAGTTTGGTAAGTATTTCATTGCATTTGTTCTTAACACAGCAATATTCTGGAATTCATCTGCACTTTGCTTTCTTAGAGCTTGTATTCTATCATTCACATAGTCGGAGACTTTTACCCGAATCTCTAATCCCAAAATAAGGTTTCTTGTAAACATGGGAGACAGTGTAACTGAAATATTTGTTTTAATTTTTTTTATTTAATTATAATAATATGAAGCAGTTCAAAGCAAAGGTTACGTACCCAGAAGGCCTCCATAACCACAGCCGACATCAAGAAATTCCACCTTGCTATTTTTATAATCTTCATTGTTTTTAATGATAGGATATAGTTCCGACCAATCGTATTCATCTGGATGTGCGGGGCTAAAAATATGCACTTCTTAATTTATCAACTACTCTTTAAAACCCTTAGATTATAAAAGTAAAAATAAATAACCTACTATTCAAAACAATGATCAGCAATAGGGTTAGAATGCGCACGCTGCCGGTAGTATTTTTTTTGTGGAAGAGCCATTATTACCTACAGTTAGAACTTAAATATTTACGTTTAACATAAATCATAAAATCGATACGTTCAAACAATTAAATAAAAGCTATTGAATAACTAAAATCTTAAGAAAAACAGCGATCACTGGTCATTATCTTGTTGACATTGTCAAGTTTGTTTACGTGATCACTGCGCAAGTATACGATGTTGGCTCCTCAATTCAACAGGCGTCATACACCTAATTTACTTCGTGCGACAACAGGTTATAAATAATATTTTATTTAACTATAACCAGTTTTATTCGCTATAATAAATGTTATTTTTTTTAATATGTGATTTAACGTCACGAATTTTTTACATTTCTAACTTGAAGTACATACAAATTTTAAGAATTCAATTTTTTTACCCTTATTAATAACATTTTGTTTTATCTATGCACTTTGCAGTTTGCTTAATCTGTGATCAATATTTTCAAATTCATTAATTTGCAAAATACTAAAAGATTTAAGTTACAGTTATTGTTTATGAACTATGATTTATTAAGGATTTACGTGCAGTGTCTATAATAATGAGCAACTTGGCATAATATTTTCATTCGTTTAAAAACATACTATGAGTTGTGTCATGTGAATTGAAGAAATCAATGCTGGGATAAATATTTATAACAGGTACGTGGGCTACATGCCTTTGTTTTCGTAGATCATTAAAAGGATAAATTATTATTGTATATACAACCTTATTTTTTTAAACGAGGTTACAATCAATTAGATCTGTATAGTACTCCCTAGGCTTTGATTATAGTTTGAAATATTATTCAGCTTCATAGTATTTATGATGACAATGGTAAAGGAAAATGATACCCATATGTGTTTTCCTACTTTTTGTCAAAGCTAGTGTTGTTTAAATGGGGTTAAACTATATTTATTATTAGTATCTATTGACACTAGAACAAAATGTTTCAGTAAAGGATTTCCCCTTGAGCTTGGTCATTTATCTCACTGAACAGTGTATAGAAAATTGAATAATTTATTACTTGTTTCATCATATTATTTTTAATATAAGTAAGACTTTATTGTTGCTGATTTAAGTTTGCATTGTTTGAAAAGTATGTTTCTTTAGCCATAATATTATTATTTTATCAAATTTCTATGAACTAAGTTGTATTAATCATCAATTATATTTTACTGAAAAACTCTGTTTACACAGATCCTTGTAAATCTATCTATATTAATCGATGTATCATTCTTAACAAAGGTAATGGAGAAAGTGAATTATTCTGTTAGTTATAAAATTTCTTGTTTGACTTTGCAACTTGAAGAAAGTGAAGAAAATGTTGATACATACTGGAAAGCTTTAGGCGGTATACCGTCTAAAGCACACTTTCTAGATATATCTACTTGCAGTCAGTAGTTTTTTGCGCCAAGTCGCCGACTTGTCATCCACGTGCAGTCGTCAGATTGTCATCAGAGCGCAGTCTGCGAGCGGCGTCGCCCGCGCCACACGCCATTCACTCAACGCTATCAATTCAAGTGTTATCATTGCGCGACATTCATTCCCGACATACAACGCTATTGTTCTCGGCATTTGTGCTAAAATGAAGAAAGTAGACTCACACGCCAGCCTGAAAAAGGGCACGTCCAGATCAGCGCGGCTGCTCACAGACAGCGTATCGTCTGATGAGCCAGAGGCAGAACGGTTGTTGAGCTGTAAGCAGCCCGTGGTTGTGCCGGCAACACCCCGCCGGGATTCCTTCACAGCACCACCGTCGCCCACAGACTACGCCAAGAAGCGCGACAATCCTCGCCATCACAATTACATGAACCATCTGCATCATCTCATTCACTGGAGAGATATATGGAGCGGTGAACCTCACAGAGCACACGAGGTACAGAGGTTAAGGCATTTTATTTTCGATGCTATGGGATATTAAGCATGTTTGTTTTGTTGTCACGTACGTCTTACCTTCTGAAAGAATAACACTATTCTCTCTAATCCTAAAAATACCTCCACTGACTTAATTGTGAATTGACTGAGCGAGTCTACACAAATTCGAAACAAGTTTTATTGAATTCGCTAACCTTGGGTTAATTGGTGTAAGTAATTCGCGAAGTTATAGTAGTAAATTATTTTATTTTACCTTTCTTACGATTATTTTTTTGTTATTTATTTTTTCTAGAACGATGATTAATATTTAAGAAAAGTGCAAAAAAATTCGGCAACGGCCAATAAGGTAAAATGTAAAAACCTAATGGAATGAGAACATGACAAGAACAAACAAGGTCGTAAAGTTAAACCAATGCAATAAACACCAAGCCCCATTACTTATTACATTGCGAGGAATATGACACACGCTTTTATCTACGGCAAAAGTAAAAAAAAACCTGGCAGGTGCGAGTCGAATTTGCACACGAAGGGTTCCTTACTCTCCCATTATATCGAACAATAATAGTTAGGGTATCTAAATAAGACACTTTGATGCTTTAAAACGAAAAATATAATAGTTAACTTACATACAATTAATTTTAACTTCTGATATATTTCATGTTTTAAACTAGTAAAAGCGTTTTGTTTTTTTTTTCATCGTATATTATGCCTGAACTACAGACAATACTTAATAGACAAAGAATTGATTTTGTTTTGTATGAGAACCCAACTAATTTTTTTTAAGTGTAAATTAATTATGTTTTAAGTAAAAATGCATACGAATATTGCGAATATCACAAGTACATGCTAACATCTCATTAATATCGAGCATGAAGGGTCAAAAGCGTTATATTATTTTTTTTAGTAATTCCTATCGCGCCACAAGAGATATATGTGATTTTTTTTTCTGTAACTATCGTAATTTTTCACATATAGCCCGAATATCAGAGATATTCTATTGACCCTTTGGTTTTACAATTCTAAAACCTTCATTATTTTTATTTCATATATCCGTTTTTTTTTTTTAAGAAATTTAGTTTCATAACAGAGCGTTTACAGCGCGAAACATAAGTATATCGTAATCTGTCATTTTTAAATTACATATTTATATTTCACTCACAAAAACATAAGTGAGATTAGATCAAGGTCGACAGGAAAATAATATTACGGAGTTAGCTTAGGTAACGAAGTAAAATATTTGCGGTTGTAGTTTAACTCATGTTTCCCAAACTGCGAGTCATTCTATACCCAAAGGAGATCTCTTTAAGACTTTACTGTCTGTCTGTCACCAGGATATAGCTCGAGAACCACGATTTTGTTGTCTGTATAGCAATAATAAAGAACAACAACGCATTTTTTATAAGAGGATAAGGTTTAAGATATTCATTTTGTACTGTCTATAGTTTACGCGAGTAGTACACATTTGAATAAAACACTTTATCGGTTTAAAACGCTTTATCGGTTTAAAAATATATTAGTTAAACGTGTCTCCCCGTGACCACGGCTGCTGCAAAGCATCCAAAACGTCGGGCCGAAGTTAAAAATCATTTTCAAATAAGTTTAACTAATATATCGCGTTTTAAATCGTTAAAGTGTTTTATTTAAATATTAATTTTGTGTTTAATTTTCTTTTAATGATAGAGAAGGACAGACTAGCATCTAGCTTATGGCATGAAATACCTCAACCTACCGACCTATTTTGACTTTTATGATATTCGGAAATCCACACTGCAACCGAAACGCGATTAAACTTCGACGCCTTTTCATCTGTGGACGGTGATCCGACGGAATTTCAGGATTCCCACCACCCATTTAACATACTGATTTCCAGACGAAGTCCGGTGGAGATCGAGCCCGTGGCCCGTTGATTAACCACACGTTGCTACCAATAAATATACGAGCCTGTCGCATTAATGATACGGAACCCACACAGGCCGATTCTGACATGGCCGGATTTAAAGTCAAAAGCTTTCAATCACTGGTCGGCATTTTTGTATCAAATAATATAACTGAATGTATATTATTGCAGTACAAGCAACCTTTTGTGCTTGGATTCTATTTATAAGTATTTGTTTATCTATCTTGTCAATCCTTCAATGTTATGATTGCAGAAGTATGCATGGAGATACAACGCTAAGGCTGTGGTTGCCTATAAACGTTTTAGTACGCTTAATTCTTTCGAATATTAGACTATCTAAATTGGAAAACTTTCAAAATATAGTGGTTTATTGAAAATACTTTTATAACACTTAAAGCGAATGTAATAGCGAGTTCATATTTTGGCACTTGCTGTGCTAGCGATTTCGTCCGCGTAGAATAGTTATTTTTCATTTAAAATGTGTTTTTGAAAAACTCATTTACCCATGACGTCGGTCGCACATATTAGTATAAATATAGTACAGTATAGTACGTAAATTTGCAACATAATACAATATTGTATATTATATTTCGGCTATCCTAGATATACTAATATTAATATCTTAGTTTATAGGAGACCTCAGTCTACAAGAACGTAAATGAGTATATAGGTACATTATTGACAACTCAGGCGCATTCCGAGAAATAAACTTAAACGATCTATGCGGTTCTCAATTCTCATGCATGATAATCAGTAACTTTAGACAAGGGAGTTACACTGCGTTTGAGATTTCAAATAATACACAACTCCGTTCTTGTTCTTGTTCATAAGTCTTTACAAAGTATATTAGTATCATTTAAGTCTGGTATTAGTTTGCGTAAATTATTTGTGATAATTTCCCTTTAATAATTGAAAAAAAAATCTAAAAGAAATATGTTTATTTAGACAATAACAACAACATTTACGATTTAAACTTATTTACAAATATAATAAAGGGAGAAGTAAATACAAATGAAATATAAATTAAATACACCAATATGAATACCTCTGAAGAAGACACTCAGCTACGTTGGGACTAATTTCCCAACACTGAATTTCTGTGGCATCTTCAGAGGTCGAACTAACGCAAGGGAGAACGTTTTACGTGTTGTATATAGTATACTCTTATATCTAATTTATTATATACATTAATAACACTTTTACATAAAACACTTACATATATTCTAGTCTCCCCGTACAACGGCTGTTGCAAAGCATCCTAAACGTCGGGCCGTAGTTAAAAATATTTTCAAATTTTATTTAAATGTGTACTACTCGCGTAAACTGACAGTATTTAATAATAACTTCTATCTTAACTTTTTTATTCTAAAATCTAAATATTTAACAACTACAATTACAGAATAAAAGAAAGTAGGTAATAGTCTCATTACTGTATATATACCTACGTATAATTGACATTATTTAAATTTTCAATTTTAAATCAAAATTTCAATTTTATCAATTGTAAATTTTCGCCATTAGCTGAACAGCTCCTAATAGCTGATAAAGCAGGGTTCGAAATGCACTCGCTAAAAGTCTATTTTGAAGTTTTCTTTTCGAGAACTATCTACCCTATGAACTAACCGCTAACACCTCAGAAGAATCATTGCTCTTAGCGTTAATTAGAATGTAGGTAGTTCGTGTTTCGTACCAACGTTGGGTTGTTTTCTTATCTATCTGGCATCTTATTACAGTAAAAACCTTATGCAAACACGATTATCACTGTCTAGATGCGTGGTACTCAACAAAAATTGTACATTTTGATCACTGTTTGTCGTTTTAATTTGAAAAAAATCACGCGTGGCTAGATGGATCAAATGTGGAGTTAAAAAATTTGGGCGAGCTAACTCAAGGATAAGGCCTCTGCGTCACAGTGCTGATCGATACGAATACTTAATACCCGAAATGGCCTCGTCTGATTGCTCACACCCTAAACTATCCCTGTGACCTTTAAATAGAACACTTTTAACGGTTTAAAACGCGAAACGTATGAGTTAACTTATCTATGATTTGTTTTACTACGGTAGTCAAAATAAATGTTTATAAAGTTCACTAATACATTTCGCGTTTTAAACCGTTTTAAAGAGTTTTATTTATATTATACTACTCGCAACAATTAGATATTACTTATCTCTATCTCATCGTATATTTCGTAATTTTATCAATAGAAAGATAATATTATTACTTAATAGCGAACAGTACTTACAGTTCCGTATTCAATATTTTTAATTTTTTTTTTATGTTCAAGAAGGAAAGACAACCATATAATTCACTTTATAGAAGGTATACCCCGATAAATGAATTTAATACTCCAGCTATTTAACTTCTAACACAATGGTTACGTACCTATTTTCGCTCTGGATTTTCGGAAATTGTTTAATAGTTTGTGTTTTGTTTATTACTTATGAATAAATGAAATGAATTTCTTTGTTACAAAAATAAAATAAAATTACATTAGAAGATAAAAAAAAACAGACTAAAGCCGAAACGCGATTAAACTTCACGGCTTTTTAATCTGTGGACGATAGTTTGTGGCCCGGATAGAATTTTTAAATATTTATACCACCTATTTAATATCCAGATTTCGGGGCGATATCCATCATGTTTCAGAAAAAAAAAGTTATTACAAACAGGGACCCAGAAAAGGGTTAGTACCCACTACCTTTTGATTGTTACCTATCCGTTGCCTACCATTACACCAAATACATAAAACATATCTAATATATAAAATTTATTAGTTTTTGCATCGCTAGCGCCATCTATCATATCAGATTTGACTTTGACATTAGAGATACCCTCTATCTTCAGTTTACCTCTGTGATTACAACTGCTGTAAAGGTAGCTAATACATTACGCTTTTTAAATTATGATTTTTTTTATTTAAATTTGTACTCGCGTAAACTACAAATGTATCCTTTTATATTTATATACATACACACATTTATTTATCAACCTATGTATATACCTAGATGGCCCGATAGGTCATCATTTATGTACAGTTAACGCCTGCGCATTCATAATTATATTGTTCACTGGGCAATGGGTATTGTCTTGCAACGATGGCTCTTCAATAGAACCGCAAGGTCTTCAGCCAACCGTAGCCGACCGAT